TGTCTCTGAAAGTATTGGTATTTGGATCAATTTTCAAATTTCGGAAATTATTCTCAAATATATAAATACATATATAGAAATATAAAAATCGCTTTTTTGAAATTCACAAGTGGATTTAACCCTTTAAAGTAATTTAATACCGTATCAGACTATGTTTTTGCTCTCAATTTCTGCTGAAATTATCTTATTAAGTGTTTTTATTACTTAAAAAGTCACTTTCATATAAAGATATAAATATATTCAATTTCGTCTATTGGCACTATCCATTAACCAGATGTACTACGATATAGAGTAAATTTTATACAAAGCTGTCTTCGATTCGCCACTTCTCTATCCCTGCTCGTTATGTTGAAGCTCTGCTTGCTTCTCTTCAAATCTACCTATAAAAGTATCAACAAAGTTATTCAATTTAACTCAATTAAAGAGAGTTTGTGAAGGCCTCATTAAAATAGTAAAACCATATTTTATTCTATTTCCATTTCATGCTTGTTGATAACACAGGTATTTATGATAGTTGTTTGTTCGATTCGCCACTTTCTTTCCATATTATTTTTGATACATGAAAATAACTTGTGTATTTGAAATTGAGTGTATTAGCTTTTCAATTCAAGTTATGCACATTTCTGAACTCATACATTGATAATCTATGAGCCAAATTTCTAAATTATAAAATATATTTTTAAGTTGCATACATTCTTAATTATTAACATATCTTTAATCGGTTCTGTTTTTTGATGATTTATGACTCATGCCTAAGTGAGTCTTATATTTTATAGCAAAGCTAGTTTTCTATTAGAAAGTAACCAAAATCATATAATTGTGAAATTTTTCATTTCTTTATTTTGTAAAATATATATTTATATTAGTATATTTTTACTTTATATAATTTCTGATTTTTTCAAATTATTATATTCGTGAATTTAAAAAAAAAACAATATTTTCTAAATATCTAAGCGTAATACTGTTTTAAAGGGAAATACATACTGAAAGTGAGAGCTTATAGAATTTCACACTCTTATCTTAACGAAATTTCTTTTCTATAGTACACCAAGCGTAACTCATTCTCAAGTTTCTATATTTTTTAAGACACCATTGAGTTTTTGATACCTCGACTTTCTAATATTTTACGTATGTATATATATATTTGTTTCATTTTAGCTAGTAGTCTAAGCGTCTTAATTTTAAGTTAATTCAATTGTCACACTAATTGTTAAGAAGCAAATATAAATACACACATTCTTACGGCCAACACCATTTTCTTCATACATATATATATGTGTATAGGAATGGAGCTGTAAACTAATTATGTTACACCCTGGTGGGCATTCAGCTTACAACTCTCGATCTTGCCGAAGCAATAAACACTTCTTCGCTTTATCTTCTTTTAATTGCACGCCCATCTACTTAAAAAATTTCACTAACGCACCGGCTGTCAACAAAAACATTAGCAACAACTAAATTATTTATAAGCACATATGTAGATACTTAATTGAGTATACTATATACGTGGATATGTGGGTATACGAATGTGTTTTCTAGAACTACAGACTTACATTTGATATTCGCTAGTAAAAAAAAAAAAGTAATTAAAGCCAAGCTACCTATATATAAGCATATATGTACATATATATATGGATATTTATTTTTTGCTGTTCGTTTTCTGATAAACAAATTGATAAAAGATAGCTATATATTATTTTTATCAAAAGAATTTTATTTTATGTAATGGCATTATTATGATTATTAAAAGTCTAAAAATCGATATCTTTTGCACGCATCCTAAATACCCAATACGCTCCATTAGTTGAGAATACGATATATAAGAGCATAACACTGTCTTGTAGAACTTGAAAATAATTTTTTTGTTTCACCCTCGAAATATGAGGTAAAACCACTACTACTGCATTTAAACACTAATAACAGCAATCGTTTCCACGACAGTCGGGTCTATAAAGCCAATCGGACCAGCATTTTTATCAGACCAATTTCGACTGTAAACTCGGCAGCATTCTAAAAAATTATTTGGGAAAGTTGTCTGCAGTTGAACACAAAAATTAATATAAAAAATAATAGTCCTAGTTGGCCTAGGTGGTTAATACTTTACTGAGGATTTATATAACTTCAACTACATTATATAAACCTCATAATACGAACAGCAAGACTATATATATTTTATTTTGTGTAATTTGTTATATTTTTAGGGCAATTCGAGCGAAATAGAAAAACTATGCTAATATTTTTTATCCCTTAACTTTTACACGAAGTTTTAACACCCAGAGAAAACGTGAAGACCCTATAAAAATATATACATACCTATACAAATGATCAGCGTGACAAGCAGAGTCCATTTACCCGCTGTATCCGTCTGTCTGATATACGCGAAATATTCCCTCAGTTTTGAGATTTCGCTCTGAAATTTTGCAAAATTTCTTCACACAAGAAGATGTCCCTTTTTATGTTACCTGTAAAGGGTATTACAGTTGCAGCCAAGTTAACCTCTTTCTTGTTTCTTCTCTATATATATTTTTTTTTGTAAGAACTCGTATTGACAGTGTAAAACTAAAATACAATACGGAAAGCTATGGCGGCGATGGCCTGTTCGGCTGTTTTTAATATTTTATATGCGATAATTTTATGAAAATGTGTTTTTGTACTATAATTATTATAAAGAAATTTTATTGTTAAAAAGCAAATGCGTGCAAAATAAATTAACAGTGAAAATCAGCGCGATATTTCAATTTCATCATTAAATGATTAGTTTTTAGGTTAGAAAAGATTTATATTTTTTCTGGACGGAAAATTCGAATTTAAATAAATTTATATATTAATAAATGTATGTAAGTACGTATTTTCACTTTACCACATCTTATAGAAGTGTGTTTTTTCTATAATAGCCAGCTTATTGATATATTATAGTAGTTAGTACTGCTAGAATTCTGTAGTGTTGAAACTTATATTTTTTTTTATTCACTCTACTTCCTATTCCCAACTTCTTTCAAGCTGCTACATATTCCTTACCTTCTTGTTTTTTTTATTGTATTGTAAGCCGCTCAAACTCCCAGCGAGTAAGTTTGTGCTTAATGATTTGACGATGCTTTTGTTTTCATTTCCTTATTACTTTTGTTGTTATTGCAATTTTGTTCGTCTGATTTTAAGTCATACCAAAATAAAAAACAAACAACTGCTTAAAGTCACAGCAACACATTAACACATTGAGGAAATTTTATACATATTTACAATACATACAAATAAATATGCATACTTTATGTAAATGTATATGTGTATAAATATATGCATATATGTGTATAAATATATACATGTTTACATAAATATATATGTATATAAATATATATAATGCATGTAATCTCACTGCCATAATGCTGGCCACATTACTGGTATCCATAGCCATGAGCAGCATGAGGTGTCAGTAGTCATCAACACCATCGGCAACGCAGTTAATGACGCCGCTGTTAGCTGCTGAAACTACACACATCTACATACATATATACAGACGAAGACATTTCTAGTAGTGCCAGCTGTGAAACGAGTGGTATAAAAAATAGTGCTTGGACTTGTAAATGGCTGACTTACTCACCTACTGATTTGCTTATGCCTCAATTTACAACAACAAAAACAAAGCAACAAAAAAACGTAAATTACTAAAACAATACAACAAAAAATATAAATTACAAAAACAAAAATGTGCGCTTCTTAAGCAACAACAAACTGAAACCATAACTTACTTTGCTAATATTTCTAAGAAATAAAACTTTCAGTGTGCTTGTGGGCATGGTGTGTATGTATGTATATAACAAAGGTGAGTTAGAGTTGCTTTTGTGTGCGTATAGGCTAGGTAAATCGCTTGATTCGACTTTTCTACACGGCGGTCATTAAGCGAAAGTGGTGCCATCGCAACATTGCTGTTGGCTACGGGCAAATTGTTGTTGTTTGAGATAACTAAATATATGTGTATAAGCAAAACGGCTAGCAGACAACAAAATACAACAAAAAGTATGAAAATATACATGGCTTTGCTTTGGTAAAACAGCTGCAGCAATACGCAATAGTAATATATCAGTCCAGTAAAAACAAAAGCAACACACAACAAATACAAACAAAAAAACCTTAAAATAGACATAAACTTAACAATTACAATAATAATAATGGTACGATATGCATAACAAAGAAAAACAAAAACAAAAAGCAAAAAAATCTAACAATAAAATAACCGTTTTTCACATAAAAATTTGAATATTATTACTTGATCATTATAAAGAATATGTTGTTATGTATTAGTGTGTGTGTGCTTCTAAATATCTAGACTTAGATTTTGCTATTAAAGCAGCGAAGTAGGAGTGTCGGAAACGAAAAACTTATGTAGCCCTTAGCCAGCAATATCAGTTGCTAAATGTTGTTATTGTTGTATGAATGCTTAGTAATAGCAAAACGAGCAGTCTGTCAGCCATAAACTCAACAGTTCACTGGCTAGTCATTCAAAAACTGTATCGAAGCAGTCGGTTTCTTCTTTACAAATGTTTAGAGTGAAGAATCTAAGAATCTATGTCAACCGTTATTTCTTTTTGTGTTGAAGATTTCTGTGGGATTTTCTCTAATTTTTTTTTTCTTCTTGTAAAAACAGTATTCAATCGCTCTTAGAAAGCAAAGCAACTAAACTTTTAGATTTTAAAATATGTTGCTTACGTTACTTTTGTAATTTTTATATAAATTTTTTAGTCCAAATCAGTGCTGATATTTATTGAATTGCGATTCAAAAGCGTAAACTTTCATTTGTTAATAGCAAAAATTTTAAATATATTCTTCACGAAAAATTAGTAGTGAGAGTCTGTGATACTCCATGAAAGTAGCAATATAAACAAATTGATTGTAAAAAAGTTCGAAGCTTTGAAAAAAAACTCTATATCTTAACACTCTTCCCTATATCCCTTATTCATAAAGTATTAACTTACTTATTTTTGATATTTTAATTTTTATACTTTCAGGCTGATCTAATACATGAATTTCGACCGAGATCGATGGATGGTGTCATTGACTCATCTTCGGGCTCATTAAATGGTGATACCACCGGTTCAAGCCCCAGATAGTGCGAGTCATTTACAAAATCAGCAGGTAAGTCTCAAAAAATATACAACTACTTATTTTGATTCAAAAATTTTGTAAGTAGAGTTTATCGGCGCATCTACAGAACTGAACCTGAACCTCTAGTAAATTTTGGATAACTTCTAAACTAAAAAGAAAATACAACAAAATTTGCTAAGAAAATCTTTGAAAAAACATTTTTGCATCGTAATCTTCAAAATTAGAATGTAAATCTACAAATAAATTTCTATAAATATGTTCCACGAACTCTTAGAACAACTTGGGATACCTAGCAATGCATCTGTGCTAATAATAATGACGAGCTCTCTGACCAAATACATCATTCCGTTAACTTGACTGCTTCTCTTTGCAATTGCATGTAGTTGCTCTGATGTCCCCGCCAACAGCATTTTGTAGGCCAGATTCCTCTATTGTGAATGTGACACATAAATCTACATTAGCAACTATACGACTTTACAAGTTGCCTTAGCTTAGCTTTGGGTAAGATTGGGTTAAGCTGTCGGAATCTTTTCAAGTTGTATCCCCCAGCAAAAGCTTCGCTGGCTGAAGTTCAGACATTTGCCGGCTGTAACGATGCTTTAATTTTTTTCTATGATGGTGTGTGAATCTACTGCAAAGAAAAACTCTGATCCTATCAGCTTGGTGGCCGCTAAATTACTAGCCATTAGCCTCGCAACCACCATATTATTAAGCTATTCAACTAACATTTACATGTCCGGGATATTTCCTTACTAGCATAATATGTGCAGAGTTTACGACTGGACTCTTACACATAATCGGATACAAATGTTGGTTTTGTTCCAACAAATTAATATGTGACATCTCAAGGCTTGAATATATTATTATATATTCAACTTAACTTTCTTCTGAAATCAAAAACTAATTATAACAATTTTTGGAAATCTTTTGATTTAGTTTAGCGATCTATTCCTTTCCAACCAAAGTGACAAGCAAAAATTACTCCCGCAAAGAGCTGTCTAAATTAACCAAAATATAGATTAGTATCCGTCGTATTTCTAGAAAATTCATAAATTTTATGTGGTAGAATCAGATAATATAATATATAATATCTTAGTCCTCTCACCTCTCCTCAGCCTGTATTGATCCGGCAATGTTCTACTCATCACTAAATATTTACTATTATTTTTCCAGGACGCTGAAGCGCGACGCGTACACCGAGGTCATGTACTTACCGAATTACTAGAAACAGAACGGATTTATGTAAATGAAATGGCCTCTATTCTAAAGGTATGTTATTAAATTGTACTTAGATATTTACAGTGGTATTGTAATTACCGTTCAATTTCGTTATTAAAACTAATTAAATTAATATGATGATAATAGGTGGTGTAGATTGAATAACTATACCGATGCTGAAATGTTTCTATATTGATAGCATTTCCCTATATCTATTATCTGTAAGAAAAAAATATATATAGAATAGCTCTTTATGCTTAATTGATCATGCAAATAATCCATATTTATAATCGACCTGCACTCATAGCGGTTTCAGTAAGACTTAACATATCCTGCTAATTTTAGGGTTTCAAAGAAGAAGAATGATCGAGACTCAATCTTAATTTTATTTTTTTGCATTTTAGTCAGGCTTATGTCACTAAAAACACGATCAGTCTATAATAATTCAATCCATGCCAATAGAGATTTAAATAAATAATACATGTTATATAGTGATCCAATAAATATATTGCTAAAATAAATCGTAAACTTAAAAATATTCATAAATGGTATCTGAGAAAAATATCTATTGAAAATGTGACAGTTATATTGTACAAAGATCCAAACCGACCTTAAATTAAGAATAAATTTAATATAATTGTTCGAGAGCAAACTAAACAAAATAAACGTACTTGATGAAAGTTTGGAGTATTTTCTAGAATAACCAAGATTTGCTATGTATTTCGATAAATTAAAAGGAAGCACTTGGTCAACGTTTAGATACTACTTTGGACTGCCTAAACCAAAGGAATTCTAAAAATACGAAATCGACGATAACTCTATTGTAGCACCATCAGCAGTATTGTTTAATAGCTATACCACGTATCTGGTTTTTATATAAGAAAACGAACTTGAAGAGGCTCATAACCGATTATGTGGCGGTTAGCATAACAAACTAAAGGAAACCATGATCATGATCTTGATCATGACCATGACCATATCGCATGCAATTATTTAGTCAATATTTATGGCCATAATGCAAGTTGGTCAGCAAGCGATCGGCCAAAAACATTACTGCAGATGGGCGGAAAAAAGAACAAAAATGTAACAGTAAAAACTTATAAAAAAGGTGGCAAAAGCACATTTAAAAATAATTAAGTCAAAGTATTTTTTTTCTCGCCGACTTAATTGGCTTTGTCTGCAGTTAACAGTTTTTGCCACAGTTGAATGCCTTCGGTTGCAATTAGTGCATTAAATATGAGCATAATTTTCCGCTTGCCACCGGCAGGCAATTTGCTAAAGTAGAATTCATTTGAGATAAAAAATTACAATGCAGAGCATAATATTGAGATCTAAGGCATTTGATGAGCATATATATTTTATTTCACATTTAACTACCGCGCCGAACAGTCGAACCGAGTCGGAAGTTTCTAGGTTCTAAATATTTATAGAGTTCTTGCTTAGTTTGTTTGATAAATATAGTTGCGCCTTGCAAAAATATGCGTTACGGCGGTTACGATCTACGTAAGGCATCAAAATCAAAATCGCCCTCATCGCACGGCTCCTTACGGCTGAAGAAAGTACAAAATACTGCCTGCAATATAGTCGGGCGCTTCAATTTGAAAATCAGCGATTCATTAAAGATTTTACAGCGCCAACGAACGCATTCGAACTTCTGCGAATCACCGGTATCCTTTCGCGGTTCACTCTTCGAACAACACGGCAGTGTAGGCAGTTATCGTGCAACGCCCACAACTAGCACCTACAGCATAAGTTACAAGCCCACTGAACCGCAGACAAATCGTTATCGTTACGAACGTTCAACAACAGACGAGAGTCACTCGATAGGCAATAACTCACCACAGAATTATATATTCGGTACGAATTTATGTAATTTCTCAACGCACAATCTGCTAAACGGTAAATCTACAATCAAAATCATAAACACCTTCAAAGAGCTCGAAGCACAACAGAGTTTGAGCGATAGCGCGATCGTTTCGAATAGTTTACAACGTTTGAAGGACGATCGTAAGACGATATTTAAAGAGCTCATCGAACTCTCGAGTTGCGACGAATCACTCGAATATCGTCTAGTCAAAGATTACCTGGAGTACAACACATACTCGGAAATCGAGAACGACGCAGAGTTCAAGGAATATTTACAACGTAAAAACTACAACGACATACTGGATTATCTAGATGAGGCACAGTCAAGGAGTCTCACGTCGATCTCGTCGTCGGTAGCACGCGCTCAGTCGGCGTTGAGTAAGCATACATTGAGCGGCACCAAATTATTAGCCACACCTAAGTCATTACATTTCACCGGCAGTGATACATGGCAATTCAAGGGAAAACTTTGTCAATCATGTCGCACAAGTGTGAACTGCAATGAAGCGCTTAAATGGTCGACGTCGCGTGCGCCAACCACCAACACCACAACATCGTGTAATCAGACAAACGGAAGTGCTGAAAAGCAAGGAACTGCAAAGAGAGTTAGTACGCAATTTGGCGAACCGAACTTTTTCGCAAATTCCTACAAAGAGACTTTGAAATTTTGTCAAGAATTCTTCGCAGAGAGTGTGCAAAGAAAGTCGGGATTCAAACTACCAAAATACAAGATGAACACAAAGTTCGATCAAACGAATTACGAGCGCGTATTGCGTGAATTCATCGGTGCGCAAGGATTTACGAATGTTGACGAATATGTTGAGGCGAAATTCGGACAGTTTTTTAGCGCCGAATTCGATCGAATAGTTAAGGATGAAAATTATGATTCGGAAGTGAAAAGAAATACGGTAAAAAAGAAAATTAAAGTAAAATAATTTAAAGTATTTAAAATGTACTAAACGGATTCAAATTCAATTGAAAACTTTATCTAACTAGAATTTTTTAAATTTATATATGTATATCTTCTCCTTTTATTTTTAGGGTTATCGTGATCAAATGCTATCTGAAGAAATGATGCATCTTGTACCCGCTAGCCTGCAAGGCAAAGAGGATATATTGTTTGGCAATTTACACGAATTATATACGTTTCATAATGAGATATTCCTTAAGGATCTGGAAAATTGTATATCTACAACGGAGTTGGTGGCGCTGTGTTTTGTTCAGCGGGTAAGTAAAAAGGCTTTGAAATATTATATGTAACTCTGAGAAACTGAGACGAATTCACTGTCGAAATGTGAAAGGAAGACACTAATAAAGGACAAATAACTTAGCTTAACTTAAGCTTTCGATTTCGCCAATTCGAAAGTTTTGTCTTACGGTGGATGCAATTTTTTTATTTAAGAATTCGAATCTGCAAATTAGTGCTTTTTAGGACACAGTTCTTAGAAATAACTACAGAGGATTGATTTAATAGGGAGAAGAGAAAATACGCGATAGTGTACAGTTTTTCTTCGATAAATGCGAAAACGTAACCTGCCGGCTAGTGCTTAAGATCCTGGCATTGTGACAGCCAATCACGAGTAATTTTGGTTACATCGATTCCGTTTTGATACTTTTGATGTCAAAGATGTACAACGCTCTGGAAGACCAATTATCGAAAATATCGAAATAAAATAATGGCAATCGTCGAGTTCAACCACCGATTTCAATTGCTCAGAAGCAAAGACTGACTACAACAACAAGCTCGATTTATGGCCACCACACGAGTTAACGCAAAAACACCACTGAATCGCAGGAAAATCGATTAATTTCTGAAGCAGATAGTTGTTGGTGATAAAGAGGACAACGTCAAGCATCAACGGTCATGACCGAAACGCGGTGAGCTGATACAAACGGTGAACAAGCCAAAATTTTGACGGTCTGGAAGGTTTTGCTTTAATTTGGTTTCTACTATGAACTGCTCTGCTACGACTAAACTCTCAATTCAGACCTATACTGTCAAGACTAAGACCGTCTGAAGGAAGCGATCGCCCAGAAACGGCCAGTTTTGGACAATAGTAGAGGAATTGTGTTCAATCAGGAAAACGCCAAGTTATACACATCAATAGGGACTCCCAGAAGCTCCTCGAGCTTAGTTGGGAGGTTTATATGCATTCACCTTATAGTTCGGACCTGGCACCAAGTGGTTACTACCTGTTCTTATTCTATGTTCAATGGCGAATAATTTTGCTGAGAAAAAATTCTACTCAAAAGAAGCTTGTAAAAATCAAATATCCAGTTCTTTGCCAAGAGGGTCGAGAATGGCATTCAGTTATCGAACAAGACGGAACTTTCTAACTAAATATGTTGAATAATACCTTTAATTAATGCAAAAATAATAGATTTATTTTTATTACTGTTTTTAAATAATTACAGGATTATATTAGCAGTAGTGTTCGACTTTGTAGGTGAAATAATCAAAGCACTTAATTTAGTTCAAGATCTGCTGAAACTGAAGTTTCTAACAAAGAGTGTTGACATTTTCATCCTAAGCTACTTAGAGTTTAAGTTATTATTTGTTCGCTGCTTGTCTTTTAGTTTCATTGGTATTTCTGCATATCGTTTATGATCTCCTCGTCTCTATTTACAGCGTGACACCTTCTATCGTTTGTACTCTTTCTACTGCCAAAATATACCGCGCTCCGATCGATTGCGCGAAACGCTCGTCGATACACATCTCTTCCTGCAGGAATGTCAAAAGCGTTTGGGACACAAATTGCCATTGGGCGCTTATCTGTTGAAGCCCGTGCAGCGTATTACCAAGTACAAATTACTGCTCGAGAATTTGCTCAGCTCCAGCGATAGCGGCAGCTGTACCAAAGAATTGCAAAAAGCTTTAGATTGTATGTTGATTGTGTTGCGTTGTGTGAACGACTCGATGCATCAAGTGGCTATAACGGGATTCCCGGTAAGTAAATTCGCATAACTGTTTATATTTAGGCGGAGTAACAATTTTTAGTTGCTTTTTAATAATTAATTTTACAGAGCAATCTTTCGCAACAAGGCGAACTGCTGCTGCAGGATCCCTTCCAGGTGTGGACTGAGTCGAAAAAGGATTTGCGACTACGCAAGAAACCACAACAACGACACATATTTCTCTATCAAAAATCGATGATATTTTGTAAGAAAACCTCAAAACCCGGCCACAATAAGAGCACTTATCAGTTCAAGCATCAACTAAAGGTACACAAAGCAATTCAAAATTGAGTGCTTAACTTTGATTGAGTCTTTATTTTACTACCTCTATCTCTCACACACCTACTAATATCTCTTTTGCGCTCTCTCTCACTCGCAGATGTCACAAATCGGCCTCACCGAATCGGTGCGCGGCGACTCAACTCGCTTCGAAGTCTGGTTACAAGGACGCCAAGAAGTGCACACGATACAAGCACCAGGCGAAGAGGTTAAAAATAAGTGGGTCACAGAAATCAAACGTCTGCTACTCAACCAGCTGGAAGAGCTGAAGGGTGAGAAAATCAAACAGTATAGCATGAATCATCATGGCCTCAGACAGACCACGTCATGGGATACGCCCAACATATTGCTGGGCATGCCGCAACGCGCCGTGAGCTGTGATGCATCTTCGGAATCTTCGAATCGCAATTCTAACTGTAGCAGTAGCGGTGATGATGCCTATCCGCACGGCATGCCGCAACTGAGCACAACAACGGGCAATGGACACGCGCATGCGCATGGTAATGGTGGTAGCGGTGCGGATAAGGAGCAACAGGAGGCATGCGGCTGGAGCTCGGACTACTCGAATAGTGAGGATGAAATGTCAATAATCGAGGATAATAGCGCGCCGGTAAGTTAGCCATGTTCCGTTATGCGCGTAAGGGGGGACAACATAGGTGCGCAACTTATGTTTGTACATTTTGCTATTTCAATACATATTTACTACTGAAGACAATTTAAATACTTGCAAATACATTTTTGGAAGGAGCGAAGTTATTTTTCAGTTCATTTTTTATTTATTTTAATCTATACAAATTTCTATTTTTAAGCTCTTTTTTATCTTATTGTCTTATTTGTTGGTATATTTTTGGTTTCGGTTTTCATGTAAAATTTGTTATTTATTTTTAAATTTACTTTTTAGATTTAACTTTTATATATAAATTGTTTGATTTCGTATTATTTATCCGCTTTACTTCTGTAATTTTTGTAATTTGTTTCCGTTTTTTTTTTAATTTTTCTTCTCGCTTTCTGTTCGTTTTATTGTTATTTTTTTCGCATATTCATCCATCATGTTGCATAGTTTCTTCTACTATATGTTTTATATTATTTGTCTTATTTAATTTTTTTGGGTTCTCTTTTTTACTTTCATGCACAAAACACTTTGTCTTAAAATATTCCAATATACCCACAACTGCAATTGCAAAATGCCACCCTGTACAAATGAACATAAAAATGGTGTCGTGTAATTTGTAAAAATGTCTATACAAATGTTTGTATATAAAAACTAATTTAAAAACAATAAATGAAAATTTTAATGCACTCTGTAAAAAATATATATATATATAATAATATATCCAAAATTATGAAAAAATAAATATATAAATCTATATATAAATTATAATAAATTAAAAATATATGATATAAATTTATAATAATTGAAAAAATAAAATAACCAATGCACATGAATTTTAAATATATAAAAAAAAATTATTTAACAATTTAAATAATATTAATTATGCGAAAAATATTTTTTAAAATTAAAAAAATTAAACAATTAAAACTTAATCACTTATTTATCGAATTGTTTCCTTTATAAAAATTATGATTTTTAAAAAACTGCTGAAAAATAATTCAAACTAAAAAATTTATATTTTATTTATTAAAATTAACATTTTTTATTGAAAACAAAAATAATATTTTAAAATTAACCCATTATTTACATATAACATAAATATCTCATTTTCTCAAATAAAATATTATGCTCATATACATACGTATGTAAAAATATAAACAATTAAACCGCATTATAATAAAAAAAATTATAACAATAAATAAATAAAATTGGGAATAATAAAAAATAAATATACAACAAAAATATTAACAAATTTAATTTCGAAATTGAAATTTTTAATGCTGCAAATAAAAATAAAATAAATAATATATAATAAATAAATAAATTTTGAAAAATTTAAATAAATTTTTATGCAAATAAAATTAAAATAAAATGTATACAAAAATAATAAAATAAAATTATAAAAATAATTGTTGAAAATATAAAATAAATATAAACAAAATTTAATAAATATTAAAATAAAATTAACTAAAATTACACTTGAAATTAAAACTAAATTCTTAACAAAATATAATAATTAAATAAAAATTAATTGCATGATAAAATATGTAAAAATAACTAAAATTAATTAAATAAATTTAAAACCTAAAATATTTAATAAATTAAAAAAACTATAAAATGGCAAACTATAAAATTGTAAATCATAAAATTGCGAATTGAAAATCCCAGTTTTATGAATTTTCTGGCTCAGTGGACCTACAATGCGATGGTAATGGTGGTGGCTCTTATCCGTAGCAGTAAATCAAATTCTAAATTCTATGTCCTGTTGAGCATTGAGCAAACATGGTTCAAGAGAAGAGAGAAAATATCGTAAAACTACAAAATGGTGACGCACAACCACATAAAACAAAACGAAAAAGTATGAAAACAAAACTAAAATGTAAAAAATAATTGCTAAAGTAACGCAGCAAATTAATAGTAAAAATTGTAAATCAAAACTGTAAATTTATAGTACAAAATAATAGTTAGTTCTATGATGTAAATAAAATATAGTGTTTTCAATCAGCAGCGCTTGACAGAAATAAAGCGAAGATATGTCAGCTCAAAGAGGACATAATTTAGTGCCTTTAACAAATTAAGGAAAATAAGTATATCAAAAACATAGTGTTGTTGCATAGTGTTCTTATGTAGTAAAAACAAGTAAAGTGTAAAGAAAGTAAAAATAGAAATGCATTATATAAAAGTGACTTCATTATATATAAAATCACCGCAAACTATATAAAAGTGCACGATTAAAACCGTTTAAAATCAATAAAAATTGCGTTAAAATTTTATTTCCTCATTAAAGCTCAAATTGCATACCGTTCACTGTTTACAAAAAGTTCAATTCAATACAACATCTCTCCACTATACACACTCACTTCCTTTATCTATTTTGTCTTCAACATTCTCTCACTCAAACGCACTGCTTGTAAAATTCCGAAACTCATACGTGTCAACATAATTCTCTCTTTCACGCACGTTGTGTATGTATATTACAAATATCGCTCATCGTTCATATATGTACATATGTATGTATGTATGTATGTATGTGTGTCTCATATAGAACTGTTCGTTGTACAAGCGTCTTCAATGAATGCCTGCCCGTCTTCTGACTCACTCTCAATATCGCTATCGCTCTCTTTCTATTGCTTCCTCGTCAACCTAACGATCGTGATCGTAATCGTTCATCATGCCTACGTATCGTCATCAACCGTTATTTCATTATGCATTATAAATCATCAAATATATAATATAATCTCCGTTTACAAAAACAAAATGAAATACTAAAATGGAAGCAGTCTGTCAGTTAAATTCTGCGTAAGTTTTTTTTGTTTTTAAATAAAATGATCAAATAACTGTATGTTTAAGTTAAATACTAGCTTTATGGTTGATAAAAAAACAAGTGTTTGTTGTTTTCTCAATACACAAATCTTTGTTGCTGCAACATGGCAAAACAATATTAAAGTTTTGAAACACATAAAATTAATTATAATCACACAAACTAAATAAAATCGTTAATGGAATGCCACTAACAAGTGTTGCCATATCTGGGCAATTTTTATCAACTCACAACAAAAAATTTTACTCGCAGAAAATTGCGCACTCTCACACTGCTCAAATACTCAAAGAAAATTAATTGTCAACTCTTACATAAAAGTAATATATTTCTAGAGAGAATGCCACAAGCTTTCCACATTCGAAATTCTTATCATTATACGATCGGCTGCAGCTGTGCGTTTTTTAGGTGTTTCTGTAGAGTTTTTGAAGTTCAAAAATTAAACTCACACAATTAGTGACACAACAATGCACGAATTTCAACAAGTTATAATAATATATGTACATATATACCAGATAAAAAGAAAAGTCGAGGAGTCATATTATACATACCAATCATCCATACATACAATATAAATTATCACATTGCATAATCTAAAAGAATTGAATTATATGCGAGTATATTCTGCGCGACATCAAAGCTGTATATAATATTATGACTTTGAGCAGGGTACATTAAATTTTCCGCGAAGTTTTAGCAGCCGAAAGGAAACTTCGAAGACCCTATAAAGTATATGCAAGTATGTAACATATATACAAATGATCAGCTTCTTTTATCTCTAAGAAGCTTCACTTGTCGGAATCGCCGATATCGGTCCACTATAGCATATTGTTGTCATACAATGCGTTCAAAATCAAGATATGCTCTTTTATGTTATAAGGAATGTGAAGGATATTATAGTTCGATGCAAAGTTAAGCTTTTACTTGTTTGTTAATCTTTATATATTTAATATAATGAGTTAACTGAATAAAAGATATGAGTTAACAGAATGCCCCGGGTATTAAAATTTTAAATTTCTAATTGCAAGATTTCTAAAAATCAAATTTTAAATAACACCACTCGCTGGTATTTTATTAAAATATTTTCGAAAATTTATTCATAAAGGATTTGCGATAAATCATATACACATACTCTTTTATCGTTTCTAAAATATGTAAAAAGATTTTTCGAAACAACAGAATTAGGCCCGTGTTTGGTTTCTACCATAACGTATTTAAGGACGTATGCGTAACACTTATCAACTTCGTATGAAAGAAAAAAATCAGAATCAAAATGAAGCGTCTAAAATAAATAAATAATTAAATAATAGATATATACATATATATTTATTATTATAAAATTTTATATGGTTTTCATAATTTTTAAATTTTTCTTTATTGTTGGTGTTAAAGAATTACATTTCAACGTAATATTACAATTTTTAAAATATTTTCTGTTAAATCATATGTCGACTTAAAATTATAATTAAATGTATGTTTGAATTTTATATATATTTCAACGATGTTTCATAAAATTTTTCAAAATAATTTTATTAAAATTTATTGATTTAAATTCTGATACGAAGAAATCGTTGAACAAAGAGTTCGAAAACATAATTAATATAAAAATTATTAGTTTAGATTTTTGTTAACGCTTACGACGAATTTTTAAGTATTTTTAATATTTTAACAATTTCGATTTTATTTTCGTATTTTCATATCCAATCAGCGTATAAAATTATAAAAATAGCAATATTTAAGAGAAATAATTTAAAATTTATAAAACACAATTGTTTACATCAAAATCATATTCGATTTTCAAATACACATACAAATGTCAAGCAATATGATAATTTATATTATAACTATGTATGTGTGAATATATTATTAGAACAACACAATTTAGAACAGTGTTTTATGAGACGAAGCACTGCCTAATGCACCAACAACAAAATAAATTTATACCTTAATAAATCATTCACCATTCACCAACCCAAATAATTTAATATATATTTTATACAACGCACCCACAAACACATACATAGCAGCACAAATCCTCACAACCATGCACAGAAGTCAAGCTTTCACGCATACACATATACATACATTAACATGCAAATCCTCGAGTGCATAACTTTTGCTTATAGATTTTGTTTAATTTAATTGAATTTCGTTGATTTTCGTTAACTTTGATTTGTACGAAAATATAAAATAATGCAAATTAAGCAAAATTATTGTTATAATAAACAAAATGCTTAAATATTTAATAAGTTGTGTTGAAATTAATTTTACGCTTATAAATAATGTTTATGTAAACAATATGCTATAATTAATTTTATATTATATATGTATGTATATAAATCGTATTTGCCTCGGCGGCGTTCGTTGCTCATTTTGTTTAGTTCTTCATAGTTTTGTCATTTCGCGTTTGCCTTGAACAACATGCAATCTTAAATTAGTGCAAAGCTATGCCAGCGCCATTTTCATGTTGATTTACATAGCGTTTCACATATGTATATATAAATATTAAATGCTGTCTTGTTGCAGAAACGCTTCTTGTTAACGACACGAAAGCATTTCTTATAACCTTTTGCTACAATTTAAAATTATAAATTTCAATTGATAAAATTATTCAGTAAATCGCGTTGCAATCGTATCTAAATTTCACCAAAACAACAGAAATTGAAATTGAAATTGAAAATGCAACGTTGCTTAGTTTAAGTAGCGTTAAAGTACAATTATTGATAGCATTATTTTTAAGTGGCATGGAATTTTGTAAAATAGTTAATTGTATAATTTAGGGAGTAATTTGTTGCCTCTGATTATAGGCTATGGGACACTGAGGTCTCAATGCGCGAAGGATGATTGAATTGTTGAAGGTGGCGTGCTGGCTGGTGGTTTGTGTGTTTTAGGTAATTCAATTTTTTAAATGCATATGTATATAAATATATGTGGATCAGTATGCTATAGATATAGTGTAAAAATTATGTAAATTTGTATATGCTTAGTATATATAAATATAATATAATGTACCAAAGCACCAGTTATATAGAAAGTATTAGTATGAGTAGTATTATAATATATACATATATTTATGTATTAATATATACATAAACATATGAGTATATATTTGTTGTGGGTTGGTTTCTACGCTTTTGAATAGTATTATATTAAATTTCATATATGAGATATTTATATACGCGTATATAGTTTAAGGAAAATAAATGCTTTACATACATCTCATCAAATTTGATCTGTAATGCGAAAAACATCCAAATATGTGGCTTCACATAGGCTATCAAACTCTTCTAAATTTTCAACGATTCCGTTGCCGTCGCATTGAAACCCAAAATTTCAAGCAGTGATATGTAGTCATTTTTCCATGGTAATATAATGCTGACAACTTTCGGTCGTAGAAAGTTTGTATTAATCAGAAAAATTGCGAGTTTAGATGGACCAGTTCATCAAATTTGATCAATGTATAATATCCTGAGAACTATAATTTTAGCCAAAATGTTGATCTATAATCAGTAGAATTAATTACTACTAGAATGTTATTTGTGCTACTCAGTCCTTAAAACGTCCACATTCAAAAGTAGTTTGATATATTAGCAAAAGTAGCTATGCGTTTGTTGCACAATAATGTTGCTAGATCAATTCTAAATCATAAGTGTGGCAACAAAGCTGACTACCTTCATCAAACGCAAATTTTCTATTTCAATTTTGAGCGTTCGCTTTCATACACAAATGTTGCAAACGCAGTTTACAAATTCCACATTTCTAAGCAACAATGTTGCTACAAGAATATTGCTGAATAATATTACTTGCTAAAATGTTGCGAAGTTTTATTTGTAAATAATGGTTACAAAATGTTAAAAACCAATGACAACAGAATATTTAACTAATGTTGGCAAAAGCTAATATGAATTTTGTATACATGAGCTTGTGATACAAATAATACCTAGAAATGTCGCTAGGTATATCTTTACTTCAAGTGTTGCTCAGCCATGTTGCCAAGAAATTTTAAAATAAAATAATAATGGAGCTAATTGCTATAAATTTGTTGTTCAAACGTTTTAATTTTGATATTGTCATATTAATGTAAATGTTGCGAACAAAGTAGCAACATATTAGTTTAGCAACATGTTGACAGCGATTTTCATGTAATGCAAATTTGTTGTATTAAATTTAAAGCTTGTTTACCATAAGACAATATCGGTCTTCCATTATCTCACTTTAATCTCTCTAATAAACATTAATGTGTGGTCGATAATTGAAAAAAAAACTTGATATGAGCGAATGTGCGATATAAATAAATGTATTGGCGGATTTATTATTTGATAATGGCACTAAAGATTAGGTTTTTTAGAGCTAGTTTGCCACCTGCTGTAATAGCTATAATGCCAGAAATTAGTGAAAATTTAAAAAAATGTTTTGTAACAAATTATTTTTATGAATTGTGAAATTTTTTTTAGCTATATACGCATATATAAAAAGAAATAATTTATTTAGATATACAATGATGTAATTTCATTAAAAATGAAATTTAGCTTGCTAACATCAGCTTCCTTTATATAATAGTATTTACCATAACAAATAATATATATTATAAAATTATATAAAATAAAATTATATAAAATCTAATTTTTCACTAAATTTTTTTTTCTTCAACAAATTTACATTCCACAGAAACAATGCAGAAGGTTGGACTCCAGCGGCATATTTGGAACCGCTCAATCGAAAATCTTCTCGAAGCTCGAGCCGCAATCAGGAGCGAATAAATTTAACTAAATGCGCTGAATAAATTAGCAAACAACAAAAATTCATTAAGCGGAAATTAGTACAAGCGGAAAGCGGAAATAACGGGCCTTTTGGAAATTTTTGCAGCATCTTAGAATTGAAGTCGCATACATATTTATACATATACATACATACATAAGTATTTAACATTTAAGAAAGCCAACCTAAACAGGAATCCAATTGATATTAATGAAATTAACGGAACAATTCAAATCAATTTACATGCAAATTACACTTTTGAAGAAATCTTTTTGATTTATGTTCATAAATACCTTTGCTAGTGCATACAATTGTATTGAAGTCAAAAATATATACTATATACAATATTGAAGCTCTACATTTACATATATATAGCACGTATGCAGAAGAAAAACGTGATTGCCTACAAAAATTGAAATTCTAACAATATTTAGCTTGAAAATTGAAAGGGTTAAGTTGAAAAAAAAACTAAAAACTGTTTGCATACAAAAATATTGAAGTAATTGTATTTTCAGTATCTTGTATTTAATTAATTTTTTTATTGTAATTTTTATTTCTTTTCTAAATTTTCTTTTTATTAAAAAAAATTAATTATTGATTATTTTAATTTTTCATTAAAAAAAAAAACAAATTATTTCAAAAAATTTTTTTAATTTTTTTAACAATATTTTATTAAATTTTTTTTTCTTTTGAAAAACTCAAAAGTTATTATTTTTTTAAAACAGAATTATTTTGGCATACTTGTATGTACATTTTATTTTTTAAAGTGTATGTTTTAATTTTAAATGTTTTTTATTATATTTTATTTTAATATTTTAACACTGATCGCACGTTTTTATTTTTTTATTAATTTTAATCGCCTAATGAAGTAAATTCTTGTAAAAAAATTAATAATCTCTGTTAAACAATATTTATTTTTAATTACCTTTTGCATTAATTTCCAATGAACATATCATTGGAAATAATTTATTACTAAAATATTAAAAATGTACACCAAATTGATTAAAAATATGTAGTTTTTTAATGAATATGCAAGCGAAAGTGAAATATAGAAACAAAAATAAAAATTATTAATATAAAGAATCTAAATTAAGTACAGTTGTATATACAATTTGCTTGAATTTCTTGGAAGGCCTAACAAACTTGTTATCAAAATATTTATATAAGCAACTAATTGCTAAATTCTAAGCATATTTATTCACAAAACTAACGTTATATAATACATAAACACTTAGTTACTAACAAGTAAAACTGAAAACACCAAGAAAATATAAAAAAACAATTTAACTTAAAATAAAAAAATTTAAATCAAAAAACTGAAATTTTAATAAAAAAAACTGAAATTAAAATTAAAAGATTTAAACTAAAAATTTAATTAAAAACTTTAAAAATTAAAATTAAATAATAATATACAAATAAAATATATACATATTTATGCAGATTAGTTCAAATCGCTAAGTATTTTTGTACAATTATTATAAAGCAAAAATGTAGTAGCTGAAAGTGCGCTTCTTTTGAGTTTTTAGTTGTGTGTACATATGGATAATAATTTTCATTAACGTACTTACTTGTATTATTTAAACAAACAGCATTAGTTGCATATATTATGTTATATAGGCATACAAACATACATATATATTATGTATGTATATGAGGCTATAGCTAATACATAACCCTAAAATAGTATGATGGGTTAAAGTATAAGTTTTTATTTATAAGTAGTAAAAATAAAATTGTGTTGGTGTAAACACAAACAAACATTTATAAAAATATTAAAAATAAATAACTTATTATTATAGTCAATAAATATGTAAAAATACTAGTAAACGTATCGACAGGCATAATAATATATTAAATGCATTATAATATATAAAATAATAAGTATAATTAACTTATTGTAAAAACTTTGAAAATTTATCGAATTAAGTATGCAAAATACCTGCTTAAATATAAATATTTCTAAAGTTAATATTAGCTATTATAATATATATAAAATATCAAAACGAAAAGCGTCTAAATAAAATATGTTTGAAACTAAATTGCTGTTGTTTTATTCAAAATAAAAGCACACGCACAACTAAAATTCGTAAATTAAAACTTAACGAATTTTATTTGAAAATTTATTTTTAATTTTGTCAGTTTTCACACCCTGAAAAAGGTACATATATTAAGTTTATTAGGAAACACTTATAGGAAAGTCGAGAGCCTATAAATATCTAAATATATCTAAATGATCAGCGTGACGAGCAACTTGCATACCGCCGATAACAGACCATATATCATAGCTGAATTCAACTGAACGATCAAAATCAAAATATTGTGAGGAAACCTATTTATCTGACAAATATCTTTCACAAATTTTGCTGAGATTGTTGATCAACAAGCAATACCATACTATATCCAAAAAATTTAGATCGGAACACTATAAATATAGCTGAAATACCTACTGAACATTCAAAATCAAGTTTTCGTATGAAAACTTTTTATTTGACAAGATATTTTAAGAAATGGTGTTTTTGTCCAAGACAATGCTACTATATCTGAATAAATTTTTAGATTGAATGACATGACATATATACATTAGGTGTCGAAAATCCGTTTTTAGATTTCATTATTAATACTGAAAATATTTTTAACAAAGATTAGTCAAGAAAAATATTTTCAAGAAAAATATTTTCAAAAATATTTTCAAGAAAAATTTCGGTGTTTTTCACCTATATCGATCGGAAATTTAGTTCTCTACAAAAGGTCCTATAGTAAGTTACGTTAAGTTGATAGCTTCTGAGATAATATCGATTTTCCTCTAAAATGAGATTTTCAATATGGTATTAATTTTCTAATAGATCTGATCTTATTATTTTCATAGGGAATTCTATTTTCACTGCATAAATGTAAAACAATTTTCTAGAGTTGATTGTTACTGAAATAACGACCATTTCGCATAAGGTAAGAAAAATTTTCCAAAACTTTAACTTTAACGGATTTGGCAGCTGAGATGTCGACCGAAATTGTTTTTCTTGAAAATATTTTTAACAAAGAAAATTTTTATATGTATATACATATTTTTATTTAACAAAGAAAATATTTTCGGTAATAATGAAAATTCTAAAAACGGATTTTGGCCCACTAATATATGTACATAGATGCCATACAAACTGTGCTTCAGACAGATTTGGATCATAGCAAATTTGCACATACAGTGTTGTTGTAGTGACATATACATAATATATTGTAAATACATATATTTTTAGTAAAATGCGTCGAATTGACAGTTCTGATACCAATTGAAAATCATTACAGTTTATATCAGATTTGGAAAAACTACCTTTTAAAATTTCAAAACCACTTTCACCAAAGCAACATTTTCAATCGTTTTTGTTTTTCTATTTCATTTATTATGTAAATAATATTTATTTAATATACACTTTATTTATAGAAGTTTAAACTTTCAAGATATACAACACTTTCACTAGCTTTGTAGTGTGTTCCATATATGGATTATATGTATGTATTTTAAGTATTTGCTATATAGTTTTATACCTTTACTTAATTTACATAGTTTTATTAAAATTTACAAGAAAACAAAAATGAAAAATAGAGCAGCACAAATTTTATGCGGAAATCGCAATACATAACGTCACGTGACTGCACACAAATCGAGGAGACTATAGACAGTTTCAAAAATTCAGTCACGTAAAAGTTTAAACGTTTTTCTAAATAAAAATAGTGCATTCATTTAAGTAGTAATCAAGCGAAATTTGCAAAGCATATTTAATTTGGTCATCTATTATACAAGTGGCGCAAGCTTGTGCTTGAAGTAAAGTGAAAGTATAACGTCCAGCAAATACACGCAGCGAAGGATACATATAAATAAAAAGAATACTTTTGCGCACATTGCTAAAGCAAAGTGGAAGCAATACCAGACAGCGAACTATAGCAGACATCTAAATATTTGCAACATAAATAAAATTATAATAATTTCGTAAAAGATTTGGACGATCATGGAATGTGTTTAGTTTTAGTTGAAATTTTTCTATTAATGTTGACCGAAAAACTCAGAAGCATACTGAAAACTCGAATTCAAAGAAGGGAGAAAGAACATTTTGTTTGCGGATATTTTCCACAAAACAAAAATAAATACCGTTATTTACGTCTACTGTGGTTACACAAATAATGTTAAAGAGTTACTCAGTTTTTTGTAAAACTATATTCTTGCATTGATAACTGCAGACACCGCTTACTAAAATGAAAAAAAAAATCAACAATAACGACGACGCTGATGATCTTGAGGTGAAACACTGTGTTGATGCGGCAGTTGCAGTCTTCCATATTTGCTCCCATTTAATGTCCTCGCAATGCTTAACATAACCTGAGCTGCTTTTTTTTATTTAGAAATGGCTGCAAGCACAACTTCAACAATATAAGCTGATGGTGGCGGTATTTAGAACATAGTACGTCAACGAACTAAACAAGTGGTTGTAGATGTTTTAGGTTTCTTAGGTTACATGTTACTCGATCTCTTAAATTAATTGGCAGTTGCTCTGCTGTTGACGTAGAATTGTTGGGCAGACAACAATAGAGTAAGCACGTAGATGCAGGCAGCAATCCAGCAATTGTAAGCATTCTAAAAACAAAATTAAAATATAGTGGAAGTTTAACGAAATTTCAGAAGTGTAATTATATGCTCTGCAAAATGAAATTTTTTAAATGTTTCGACTGTAATGTTAGTTTGATCAAGGTCATGAACACATATCACAAGTAAATATGGATGTACATATACGTTCAATTAATAATTTCACCATACCTGGTTATACGCCCTGTTGGCTGCATTATAGAATTCCTCTACAGATGTGAAATCTTCTGCGATAGGCAAATCTTCAATAAGCGCAACACTGTGTATAAAGAAGAAAACACCCATCAACACCTGAAACAAAGAAACAAAATGTAAATTATATGGAGCTCAAGAAAATAACGACAAATGCATACAAACGTATTACTTTAGTTAATAATACGTAGTCGTACAATTTACATTAATATTCACGTTTATATCGTGCACGGCTTATCTATAATAGAGGTAATCCCCATAACTAATATTACAAAAATTGTTGGTTACTCACCAATTGTATGATCCCCCAAACGGAGATGATCAAACCGCAGAGTGACAATTTTGGACCACAAATTTTCATTTTTGTTGATTTATTTTATTTGTGTTGCACTGAAAGGTAAACGGCGACTTTTCTTCTTGAACCTCGTACAATTTTCCACAAGGAAAACTTGCAAATTTTCAGCAGCCGTCGAATTGTAGTTAAAGAAATTCGCCAAGAAAAATGTCAGTCAGGTGAAAAATATAATCACATGACAGCTTCGACCAGTGCTACGAGTGCTGTCAGACTTTAACGATTGAAATTAAAAACTTTTAATAGATTTTGCACTAAATTGAGAGATTTTTGTGCTAAAAGCTCAAGCCTATGTAAGTTTAATATTTTATAAGCTTAAGGAATTTCTAGGGAACGTCAGTAAGAATCGTACTGAAATCAGTTAATTAAAAGCTGTTTATTCACAATTTAAAAAAAATTGTTTATTAAAAAACATAATTAATAATTGTTCCATAACAAAGCGTTTTCCATCACTGTTGTAGTTTGCTTTTCACAATAGGACATGCTTCTTCTTTTTAATAGGTTGAAAGTCACAATTAGTTGTACAAAAATTATGAATGACTCTTTAGGTCTAATAAAACGAAGAAAATAAATAAAAATATAAATAAAGCGACGGGGACAACAAAGTTCACAAAAATTTACGCACTGTAAATAAATGCAAATTAATCAATGAGATATTGACAACTAAGTATCACTAAGTAGCGAGTGAGTGTCCGATAATGCCAACAAATATTTACCACGAAAGACAGACGCGTCAGCTATGTGCGCTCCATACGCTTAATAATCTTTTCCAAGGTAATATATTCTGTTATTTCAACGTAACATACTAAACCATCTATTATAGGTCAGCAATCGTACACGAAAGAACAATTGGATCAAATATGCAACGATCTAAGTCCAAATGTTTGGATCAATCCACATCGTTCACCATTGGGTTTAGGCAATTATGACATTAATGTTATTATGACGGCACTGCAAATGCGGAACTGCGAAGCAGTTTGGTTTGACAAACGCAAGTAAATGCAAAATAATAATTAGTTTAACAAAAATGTTTGCTTACAACATTATTTCATTATATTTACACATGTGTAGAGACCCGTCCTGCATAGATTTGAATGCAATTGTCGGTTTCATTCTTAACGTGCCTTCGGACTACAAATTCGCATTTGTCACATTGCCATTGCAAAAACGTCACTGGATAGCCATACGTCGTATCGATGGCAAGTACTACAATTTAGACTCGAAACTGCGGGAGCCCGAATGCATTGGCGGCGAGACTGACTTACTAATCTATCTGAGGGCACAACTTGAAACAAACAAGCGGGAATTGTTCGTTATAGTTGAGAAGACGTCAGCGTCTAGCGAACAGCAAAATGTAATTTGGTTGAAATCTGAGACAAAAGCGAAACCGCCAAGCGACAGAAATGGTTCCAACCATATAGCCTAAGGGAAAAAATGAGATAATTTTGTGAGTCGGCTCTAGTCGTTTTCATCTTAGAAAAATATTAAGTAAAATGGACAGCTTAAAATGTCAACGGCTTTCGTGCAATTCAAATGTTTTTACTCACTGCTTGATACTATTTTCTACATGTAATTCTAAGGATAATATAATTAGTCTCGAACAAACTTTTGCGTAACTCCAGAAACCAATAATGTACAAGCATGGAACAAAAGCGCAATTGCAACTATACAAATATTTCGTATCATTCAATTAACTGAATTAAAACTATAACTGTATATATAAATTTGTATGTAAAAATCTTTATTAGAGTTCTGTAAAAATTATATATAAAAGACATAATTTACGAATTAAATAATGTATAAAAGACAAGTTTATTGTGTATCGAATGTGACGCATATTTTCTTAGGTTTTTAAATTAAAATATATGTAATTTCTACATATTTATTCGAAACGGACTTATATATGTCTATAAAACACTTTTTAGATACTTGTACTGGAGTAAAAATACTAATTGACTAAAAACTAGACGTAACGTGGAATGATTTTGACGCACTCACTAAAAAATGGACGGATTTTGGAGATTAATGTTCGTAATTAAATTTCTTTGTTTTTATAGTTTACTAAAATATTTCTCAGATGTCGGTTTGTAAGCCGCCTGCTTTGGGTAGTGCAGCAGCTGCTGCAGCAGCAGCGGCAGATGTACTCTGACCAGGTGGTGGACGCCTAGGCCTAGTTGGTTCAGGTGCAAAATATTGTTGTGCCTGTTGTTGGTAAAACTCATCTGTGGGACCGCCATACTCACTAACATCACGATTACTTATTTCATTTAAATGACGATAACGTTCACGTCGCGCTTCCACTATATATAATATACCGGCTGGTAATAACATGACGCCACCCACCACAGCTAAGGCAAATGACCAGCCCATGTCATTGTTTTGCCAGCCTGGCATCCAATCACGGGAATCTCCTTTCGCACCGAATATTACAACGGCGATAAAACCGAATAAAGAAGCTAGTACTTGGCAGGATCCAATAGTTAACAACAGGAATACATAACGGTCGTCATCACGAGAGGTACGCAAAAAGGATAATGTCAGCGGCAAAGCGAGGAGACACAACACGAAGCAGAGTGTAGCAAAAACTTGCACAGCAATATAGAAACTTGGTAGAAGAAAATCGTGTATAATGTAATATTCTTCTTCGAATACCCACATGCATCCATTAAACACGGTATCGTAGAATCGATGTATATCTTGGAAATTACGGAAACACACTTCCCATAGTCCAAGATTTGTAAAGCGAGGATTGTCAATGCGACCATCTGTGATTAGCCAGTAGGGTGTGACGAATGCTATTAGAAACAATATGAAGGATATAGCCGAAATTCCAACAGCTATGCGTGTTGTGCGATTACTGGCCCCCATGATGGTTATATATCACAAACTTAAGAACAAATACCAATTAAATAGGCTACAATAAAGTTACTAACGAAAACAAAAATCTTACTAGAAAACAAAATTGTTTTTGTTCCTTTTCCACGCCCAAATCAAAAATTTTATGACACACTGGCGTCGAGAGTTGCCCTATTAACAAGTTTCTATTTTATGTTTAAAAACGTGACCTTTCTTTTGTAACTGTCCCTATCTGCAGAGAACGTATATCATAATATCTGTGCTAAATTTTAGGAAGTAGTCTTCAATACTTTTCAAATTTATTTTATATTTATAGTATTTATATTTTTATATCGACAATTTTGGGCACTAACTAAAAACCAAAGGACCAAACTTAATAATCTCGCAAAACTGTGAATAAATCTGTAAAAGATATGGCAGCTTGTCTCAGTGTTTTTTTTTTGTGTACTCGCTTTGTTAGAGACGCACCTGAAGTTTTTTGCTTTTATTTAAGGTATACTTTTGTCAGAAGTGAAAATTGTATTTTTAAAAGGAAAACATTGTGCTTTTTTTATATTGTAACTAAAAGAGTTTTAAAAAACGTAACCGAATTAGTGGTATCGTCTCGGACGATTAAACACTTCGAAGGTGCTATAAAACAACCTTCGATATCTGCCAGACTGTTTTGTGCAAACACACAGATTCACACGCATACAAAGATACGTAAAAGTAGTCCATTCAACTTTGTCAAAAATTAATTCAAAAGCAAAGTAAAAGGGATAATGGCTTCGGAAATTGAAGTTGTAAATCTCAACAATTTTGAGAAAATACAGAATTTTCTAAATGACTCAGCTTACAAAGAAATATTGGAAAATAGCGAAAACTTCAATACACGATTGTGTATCGAACGTCGTCTACGTATGCCATTTTTGGACCCACAAACTGGTGTTGCGCAGACACATTGTGCTTTATTTATGAAACAACGTCAACGAATGCCTGGTTTTCGTGACGGTCAAATATACACCTATCCATCAGCACGTTGGCGCAAACCGAAACGCCAGTATTTGCTTAATCATCACCATAGTTACCGGGCCTACCAGTATCGTGAACCTCACTACCATCAATCCACTGGCAATACCTCAGGACGCGATCATTATCAAACGGAAAGTGCAGGTAGGCGTATTTATATGTATGACTTTTGAAATACTTTGTTGTTATATTGAGCCGATTGCAATAGCAAAAAGCAAAATCAATAAAAGTCTGCCAATAAAAGTTCCGTGCTGTACTTGTTGTGTAAATATTCGCTATAATTTCTACTTATCTGAGAAAAATTATATTTATTGTTTTTGTAATCAATTTACCACTTTTATACTTGCTAGCAATCGTCGCAGCAGATGGCAATTCCATGAGTGCTTCAGGTGATAATGACAGCAAAGATTCGCATGCCAATCCAGAAAAGGATTGGTTTCATGAGGACCTTGACATGTCGCACTATCACCATGTCGACGATTTTGAAGAAGATTTTGAATCAGATAATGACTACGATGAGTCGTACAGCAGCCGTGGTAAACGTAAGCGGGGTTCACGCTCTTCTCGCAAGAGTACAATAACTGCTGATGGCACGCCAAAACGTGGCCGTAAAGGGGGCGGTATGTAAAGTTGCTTTGAAATAAAAAACTTCAAAAGTCTATATATATGATATTACTTCTGCAGGCAGTCGTCGGCGTAATAACGCAGATGGTGAAGGTGGTGGTCGTCGACGTGGTGGCGTTAACAATGCCAACAACAACAATGCAAATACAGCAGCGGCAGCAGCTGCCGCGGCTGCTGCTGTGGCGGCTGCAGCAAGTGTTGTGGCTTCCAGTATGGAAATTAGCAATTCGAATTCAGCTTCACCAATTGGTACAAATGATGAAACTTCGCAATCGGCAATTGTTATGCCAACTACTGGTGCACCGAGCGGTGCGGGCACAACTTTCGACAAAACATTAAGCGAACCGAATGTAGTGGCTACTACTGCAGCTGTTACTAATGATGTTGTTGCGCCTGTTCTACCCAGTACAAGTGCTGTTAGTAATGTTACAAGCGTCGCCGCGATACCAACTGTCACACCGCCTGTGACAGTTGCTCCAAGTGTTGTTGCGCCAGTTGTAACAGTTGGTGGTGCCGTAAAGAAAGATCTTAAAAACAAACTGCGTGCCGATCGCGAGATAGCAACGCCGTCAACTTATTGCGATTTCTGTTTGGGTGATCAGCGTGAGAACAAAAAGACAAATTTACCCGAAGAATTGGTGTCATGTTCGGATTGCGGTCGTTCCGGTCATCCGTCTTGCCTACAGTTTACCCCAAATATGATTATCTCGGTCAAACGCTATCGCTGGCAATGCATCGAATGCAAATATTGTTCTATATGTGGCACTTCAGACAATGATGATCAATTGTTATTCTGTGACGATTGTGATCGTGGCTATCATATGTATTGTTTGTCACCACCATTAATAACGCCACCCGAAGGTTCGTGGAGCTGCAAACTTTGCATGGATGAGTTTCATAAAGATGAAAAATAATAAAGCTTAAGCAAAATGGCCAACGAAATATAAACCAACATAATAAATACCGCTTCCAGTAAATAGCAACAATGGAAATAGACTGAGTTGAATTAAGAGCACGAAATTGTTTAAAGCGGAGCACTGCGACTTGGTCTTATATACATATATACAGTTTTCTCATTTATGTTTTTGATTTAAGTTAAAAGTGCAGTATTGTCGCATAGAAATACTTAAAGTAACGTCATATTGCATTGCTTACATTTTTTTGTTTTAATAATATTTTCCTTTATATAATAATTTTATTTTTCAAATATGCATCAGGTAACAACTTAACGCCGCCAACTAAGTTCACAACATTTTTAAGAGCTTTCATGTAATTTTGTTTTATATTAGCTTAGTTTTAAGTTCAAAAGATTCATACAGTGGCAACTTTTTGTGTTTTAGATTTATAATTAGTCTTATAACATAAAGCCCATTATGCCTCCGCTAATCTAAGCAACTTTTAACCAAGGGTATAAAATAGTATTGTATCTGGAAAGCCCAGTTTAAGGTATGTTACAAATATTTTGCTTTTATATGTTTCTATGTGCATATATATTAAAATCATATTAAAATTGGCTGATAAATACATACTATATGATCAGTAAAAGTAACTACGAAAATGGTATTTCAATAAATCTCAAATTGTATTTAGTTCAGTAAACTTGTAAGTGTATTATGTGAATTATGCGAAATTATAAATAAATATACATTTTATAAGTTTATAACTTTAATTTGCTAAAATTCAAAATCTCTTCCAAGTTTTTGGGCAATAATTGCAAATTTAATTATTTAAATTAATTTAATTACAATATGATAAATATTCATCTGTACAACCATGTAACAGTACATATAAACATTTGGAAGTACGCATCAATGGGTATATAATGCAACTCATTAATATTTATTGCAATATGCGTTCATAATTATCGCCAATGAGCTTAATAAGAATAAATCCTTACTTTCAACACAATAAGCTTGGTTTCGTCGCAACAATTTTATTTGTCAATTGTGGTGTTTGTAGAGTATTGTTGTCTTGGATAATAATCCATGCCAAATTTCGTGATGATATCTCGTAAAATACAAAGGTTTTTCATACAAGAACTCGATTTTGATCGATCAGTTTGTATGTCAGCTATATGCTATAGTGGTCCGATATCGGCGGTACAGAAAAATGAGCAGCTTCTTCGGGAGAAAGGGTCTTATGCAAAATTTCAGTTTGATATCTCAACAACTTATTGTACATACAGACAGACGGACATGGCTAAATTGACTCAGCTCATCATTCTGATCATTTATTACAAACTGCAGTGTATAATTATGCTGTTGCAATAACGAATTATTGCAATTTTAATATATTAGAAACAATAACAATAACAAATCATTACAAGAAGTGGTTTTCTAACCATTATTTTGAGCCGAATAATTTAAATTTCAAATCTCAAAATTTGATTGAGCACAATTTTCTATTGAGAATACACACAAACAAGCGCGAAATGCTCTGTAAATGTTTGTTGTAACATTTATACTTTTCACAGTTGAACTCGAACAATTTTTTGTATATTTGAAAAAATTGCTTTTCATGAACTCAATTATTATTTGTGTTGTTTAATTCTACACTTTTTTTTTTAAATAAAATCAACAAAAAATTCGGAAATACAAATATTAAGCAGCTTAGTTATTATGGAAAACGAAACGCAAACACAACAACAATTGCAACGGCATGAAGAACAGATATTGCAACAAGCACAAGATGATGACGAACAAGATGTACAATCAGAAGATATGAAAACTGTATCAACAGAAATTTTAAGCGACGAAGGTTGTTTAACAGAAGCTGACTCCGCCAACTATATGTGTGTGCAAGAGGAAGAATATGAGCAAGAGAGCATTGCAAGTGTTGCCGACGCGTCGTCGCAACAATTGGAATGCACACAGCAGAAGGCGCAACAATATGCACACCAGCGCAGTCACAATCAAGCACATCGTCAATATAACCCCAAGAAGAGCGTGTCCTTCAAGACGCTGGTCGATATCTTTCAATTGAGCGACGCCTGGCAGTTGCATGTGAAAAAGAGCAGCTTGAAAACGGAGGAAGATCAGGCCAAACGACGCATTCTGCAGCGCAACTATTAAATTATCGTTAATTGCACACACACACACATATGCTTTTCATAACATTTGTACCAGGCACATAAGGGCTTGCAAATGCTAGTACAACAACGTTTATGTGTAATCGATCAATGTTATTTTCCTTTCAATGAATGAACAAATTCCTAGTGTACTATATTTTTAAATAATTAATAGCTATCTTATGTATTCGCTATAATTTCTACAATGTCTGTAATGTAAGTGTGTAGGTGCGCGCATGCGCTCATACACACAACGAATGTTTAGCTAGCTTTTTTTTCTGTTTTCATTTCGTCAAGGCATATGTAAAAATCTACTAGTTTGAATGCTCGCGCAAATAAATGGTGGCATGAATGTAACAAAAACAAAAAAAAAACATTTTTAATCAACACCAAGGTAGGCAGTGTTAAATTTAACTGTTTGCACAGATGTTGGCAATGGAGTAAAAGCTTCGTTTAGTGCGCAAGTGTGAAGTCATTTCCATGCAATTAGCATTCTCACCTTGGCAGCATCATGTTGCACCCCGTTAAAGCATAAATATATATATATGCATCAATTTTTACAGAAAGAAATTCTGCATAGAATCTCTACATTAGTGATTGGCTTAACTAAGGCTTTAGTTGAATTGAGTTGTTCACAATGGCTGGTTGTTCTCTATGCTTTTGGGTTTTCGTGTTTGTCACACTCAACAACAGTTATATGCTGATTGACAGCACTAAATTACTAAGGAGTAAGCGGTTTCTGATATATCCGCAACAAGCGCCTACACGTTTGGTTGTAAGTAATAAGAACATTCCTAAACTAAACGCGCACTAAATATTATATATTTCATTTTAGTAAATATTAATTTTTTTAACGAAATTTTATATTTAGTTTATTATTGGCGTTGGCATACCAGCGGATCTGGAGTATGAATCTCTTACCGTTGGATATGCCCTGAAGGCACAGTTTTTGCTTCCCATTAACGCTACTAATTATCGTGAAAATCCATTTTATCCAGAATATAAAAGTCAATACAATGCCACATATCATGTTAATCTTGATCGTTATGGCTGGGAATCGAGATCATCGAAGCTGCGTTGGAATTTGTACTCGTGCATTGCTCAACGACTTGATAGGTATTAGAAAAAACGTTAACTTCGGTTTTACCGAAGCTGTAATACTCTCTCTATAATATCATTTCTTGCACCATAAAAAGGGGATTGAAAAGATCTTTAGCTTGATTTTGTGTGGTTATTTTGTATGGCAGCTATACGCTATAGTGTTTCGATATCGCCGGTATATTAGTCTGGTCCGTTTATTGTTCTATGTCGTCGACGTACTCAAGGAATTATCCCTTGATGCTCCTAGGAGGCGGTGCCGCTCTAAGCAGATATTTTCAGGTGTTGACAAATTCTAACGTCAACCGGAAAATCAAAAATTATTACAAGGGTTTTTTAGGGCTAGGGAAAGATCTGGACTGATACCATTAATTAACATTTGGCATTAAACTTAACTAAATGTATGAAAATCCTTATATTAGATATATGAGGCTGGGAAAATATTGACCCGACGTAAACTATTTTGGGTACAAGAGATCATTATTTTCACAAAAGAGATTCGTCAGAATATCATTAATATATCGGACCCATATTTTCTGTAAAAAGTCGGTATCTGGTGGCGTAAAAAGTTATAGTTGTATGTCGAATTTTTATATTTGTAACATGTAATTGATATCTTAATTGGTGATTCATTTATATAGTGTAGAGTGATAGAATCTGACAGAATTTAATATATTTTATGTGGGAATCCAATTACACAAATTATCAAACTATAACTTTAAGATGTCAAAACAATATTTAAAACCAAATTTGTATGAAATCGGTCGCATAGTGGCTGAAGTATGGAATTTAAACAAGAAGTGATATTATCCAATTTTTATATCGACTTATGGTCTTTACAACGCTAACGTAGCCGTACCATCTTTACTGTGAAATTGTATCCGTTTTATTTAGCAAGTTATCGCTCTTTAGGTAGTTTTGAACATAACTGTTATAGTGGAATGAGCGTGGTTATTATTCGATGTTTACCCATGCTTACACTGTGTGATGGAACCGTTCGCATTTTACTATCGGATATGTATGCATATAAAACATATTAGAAGGTGCGGCTACTTCCACTTTCCAAAAATTTTATAGAAATAAAAATAACAATTATATATTTTATATTGTATATATTTATATAGAAAATAAAAAAAACGTTTCTTTTATTAAAGCTACGGCTATAGCGGCACGGAATGTGTGCTTAAAGCGATATGTGAAGCGAGCTCGCTAAGTTTTCAGCGACTTCATGGTGTCTTCGAACAGATTATGCATATTTTGCTGAGGTATTTATGTCACTTTTTATTTATTTACAATACATACTTGTATATTGGGTATTGGGCACCAGAAAGTTATACGAAAATAATGAATAATGTTTATTTAGCCCCAGTAGCTCCGTTGACCAAGCGACGTCACAAAGTGTTCAATACATAGAAGCAGAGAAAATCGGTAGACTTTCTGGTGATTGTGGTTTTTACAATTGTAAAATTAGTATATTGGATTGGATATCAAGTGTACTCAAAGTGGAATCATGAAAGTGTAAATATTCAATTTCACATGTAATTTTAAAATAAAACTTTTATTTAGCGCCATTTTACTAAGAATATTTTAAAATTATTTATCTCATTCAATTTATAATATTTTGAGACCTTATTAAAAACATTATATGTTTGTTGATCAGTGATAGAAATATATATGTATACCGAATTCTATTATATACTTAAATAAAGAAAAAACTACAACAAATTGAAATCAATACAAATAGCTTGATCATCTAAAATCTCTTTCTTTCCTTTCTATAACTTTAAACTCCTTTTTTCCAATTTAACTTTAATGATATTTGGTGTCCTTATAATCATGCCGAATTCCAACTTTATATCTTGATCCTTCATTAGCGTTAAAATTTTAAAGGTCTTTATGATGTTAACTAAAATCGTCTTAAGTTCCAGCATAGCAAATTTTTGTCCTACCAAAAATTATATATAATTTTACATAGTGCATATTTGAAGAAAACTAAAGTCTTCAATACATACCGATACAATTTCTTTGTCCTGCGCTGAATGGTACGTACGCGTAAGGATGTCGTCCGGCTGACGCTTCCGCTGTAAAACGTTCCGGATCAAATTTATTCGGATTTTCATAGTATTTAGCACTTCGATGTATATCTATTATATGTATGGTTACTTGAGCCCCTTTCGGCAATATTAGGTTATTGGCGAGACGAGTTTCATTCGCAGCCTCACGCGCTATAACTGGCACTGAGGGGTATAGACGAAGCGTCTCCTTAATGAAACACTCTAGATACTGCAATTTGGACAGCTGCTGAATATTCAATTGGCTCAAGTCATCTGTTGGCGAGTGAGAAATAAACTTAAACCTTCAACGCAATCAAGTATTTCTTGATAGCAACGCTCCTGCATTTCTGGATATAGTGAAAGGTTCATAAGTGAAAATAAGAGCGCCATCGATGTGGTGTCGTAGCCTTCAAACATAAATGTGTTCACTTCCTCACATATACCCACATGATCAATGAGTCCATCGCGTTCGGCGCGTAAGAGTGTGTCCAACATAGCGTAGCGTTTTTTCGTATAGAAGCTAATGCAGGTAAAAAATGGTTGTATTTTTATTAGTAATTTGTGAAATTTTGTTTTAAACTGCTAACCTTTGATTATCCTCCTTGTCTTCACTCTGCTCTAGTTCTTCCGCGAATGCTTGACGTCGCTTGTTAATTATCTCACTGGAGAAGTAATGCACAATTGAAATGTGTTTCTTAATTTTAGGTGCTAAAAATACTTTATATAGGGAATCTATAATATAAAACGGATTATGGCATCGCATCAAGAATACTTCCTCGATCATTTTGAAGCTGCCACGATATTGATCAGCATTCATTTGCTCATCCAATTTGACACCCAATGCGGTCTCTGTAAAGCGAAGTAAAGCATTTCACAAAATAGTCAGTAAAATATAAATCAGAAATGATCTCTTTAAGATGAACTGGTATTTATTAGACCTAATAAATTGTAAGCCACGTTTCGATATATAAAAATCTAAAAACATGAATCCACGACAAGTTCTATAATTTTTGGGTGTATGCTTATTTGAAAGTTTAACTATTGTGAAAACTCGCTGAGGTTAATATTGAGTTTGTTCTTTAGATTACAGAATTTCTACTAGGATCTGAGCAAATTTAATCCGAACGACTTTAAAGTTTCGTTCACTATCATATATGGATTCATGCCTCATGGCAATTTTTCATTTTCTCATTAATAAATTATGTAATAGCCAACTGCCTACAAATGCGGGTTCGGATAATTTTTGGTATTAAAATTCATCACTAAAAAGTATTTGAAGGTATATATATTATTTTTTAAAACTTACCACAGATGGCGTTGAGTGTAAATTTTGGTATAATTTCGTTTAAAGTCACAGAACTTAAATCGCTAGCTTCCAAACTCTCCACAAATTTTTTGCTCTCTTCTCTGAAACAGATGTATATACATATGTAAATATATTTATTTACAATATATTAACGCTTAAAAAAGCTCACTTAAAAATCTCTTCAAATTGTGTAAGTATTTTAAAGTGGAAGGCAGGAGTCAGCATTTTTCTACGAGAGTACCATTTTTTGCCTAAGCCATTGGTGGAATTAAACAAATATTTACTCCAAATAACAAATTTTCAAACAAATGCTGTACCTGATGACGTCAGCAGTCCTCTATTCAAGAACGGCACGAAAAAATTATAAATAACACCCTTGTGAATCAGATTTTTCTGATCATTCATCACTAGCTCAGCATCCTCAGCGGTGATTATGTTGTAGAAAGATCTGAATAGTCCATATTGTAGATAGCTGCGCTTCATTTCCGCAGCAAGTTTTCGCAAGAAGTCGAACACTGCACGGAAATTTAAACAATATACTGAGTTATATACTACATATAAAAATTTATCTGGATGAGTTGAAATCCGGTTGAAAGCGTCCGTTCGTCTGTTTGTGATAACTTGATAAAAATTAAGATGTTGTAATGAAACTTTGTACACGTGTTCCTTAGTACTCAAAGAAGTTGTGGTCGAAATCGGTCCACTGCCACGCCCACAAAATTACATTAGGCGAAAACTTATAAAGTGTTATAACTAAGCTCTAATTTAAGATAGAAAGCTGTTATTTGAAATCGGATCACAACCACACCTATTTTTTATATAACGCCATTTTAAGTTTAAGATATCCGAATACAATTTTGGACAAATAGTGCCCTCAATGTATGACATTTCACATCTAAAAATTTTGGAAATCGAATTATAACTTATAAAGACCATCAATTAGCATATATTTGAATCTGAGTGTCTTAGAGAACATATTTTCCTTGTAATAATGTGTCTTGGTGCTAAAAAAGGGTAAATATACCTAATTTACGAATTTCAGACTTCAAGTTGGCTTTATACCGAATATATTGGTCAATATCTAAGTTGTGTTGGCAAACTTAAGTGAACGTATAATATGAGATACTATTAAGTTTAATGCTGCAAATGTGTCAAATCGGTTCTCGAATTACTTTAGCTCTCATATACTATATAAAGAATGAATATATATGTATATTCAATAATTTTCGTTGTTCTAATAGATTTTATACCGAATATATCGGTCAATGTGTGGACTATTTCCTAAAACTTTGTAGAAACATGTTTTCGATCACAATTTAATAATGTCTAAAGTTAATGCAATCAGTCTATATACTTGCCCCAATACACCCTATATAGTGATTTCCGAATTTTCATTTAACTTTTACCTTGGTCTAAACTTCATATCCCTATTATACTGATTTCAGATTTCTTTTTTTGGTCTACTCACTATTCAAAACTTAGCTCTTGGGGTTGAGTTTACGTTGGTTGTCTTTTAAATTTCCGGATTTTGCAAATCTAGTGTAGCAATCTAGCAACTCACAACTTTATCGTAAAGTTCGACATTTTTTAAGTTATACATACTCAGAACGTTTTGATGTTGGAGCGCTATTTGTGCTTCTTACAGTAACTTAAAATATTCATATTTATTATATATATATTTTAGCAGCAGTCGTCAACGTGTAAAATAAAAACTACATTGACGATGATGTAATAAATCAATTAAAAGTTACATGTTTATATACATAATCTATATGAACTTTGATAAAATTACTGAACAGTGATTAAGACAACCACCACTACTGTAAAATTGTAAATTTAATACAATACTAAAATTTGAAAAAACAAAAAAATTAAATTACTTTGTGTAATGACATTAATATACAAGAAATATATATTCTTAAATATTTTTTACATTTTTAAGTCTGCATATGTTGAATAAAGCTGAAAGTGTATACACATCTTCATTCAAGTTCAATATCAACTCTCGTTTTAGTAAGTATTGGTAGTGGTAATGAGTTAGCAATGCGTTCTATAAACATAGCACACTCATCCCTTAATAAATCAGCAATTTCTGAAACATTAAATAAACACACAAACTCACTGCCTTCAGAGGCTAATGCAAAATCGAAGGCATTGCCAAATATTGTGAGTCCTTTGGGGAGCGCCACTGAATTCTCCAAGGGAGTGCAGTCAACTGTTCGTACCCGCTTAGTAAATAATGTCAGCACCACATAATCCTTATTTAGTTTGTATAGGCAAGCGATTATGATCGCACCAATAATTAATGTCCCGAACACCATGGCGTATGCGTTACAATTCAAATTAATGCAAATTCACAATGACAACAAACAAAATGACTTAAGGAAAATCAAAAGACTAAAGTGTTCGCTAGAAAGTCAAGATCACAACTGAAATTGTATAGAATTAATAAAGTCTGGTGAGCGCTAATAATAAAATCAAGAGCGCGCCATTGTTTATCGACGTGTGTGTGCATAATACACAACTCAAAATATTGCAGATAAGATATACATACACATGTCTATGTATATGTTTGTTCGTATCCCTACAACAACAGTGACAGTCATCTGACCGGTAATATGACAGTCACAGCTGAAAAAATTTTGTCAGCGTCCAGAACAAAGTTTCTATCATTTTCTTAAGAGTTTATTTATTTCTTTAATAAATTCAAATTTTTTTTTATTTTAAATTAGTTATGATATAAATATAAAAAAGGAGTGCAACAAAAATATAATGAAATAATAAATTATGAAATGAAGTTTTGCCTTAATTCCATGCTTGCTACTCTCAAAAGCTCTGCTGTACATGTTTCTTCAGTTCATGAATATTTCGTAATTCAAAAATGTCTAAATAAAAATGAAAAAATATAATTTTATTTGAAATTTAATAAGAACTTACGTATATTATATTTGAAAACTCTTTCGTTATTTATTATTTTTAAAGGTATTTCACAATTCTCGAAACTTCTATAAAAATGTGTGCTGTCTCTTTTCGACGTATACACAATTTTCCTTTGCAAAAATCGTAAACATTAACAATCATTTTACTGTTCATTTGGCTGCCAGTGGTGACAGTACTAAAGAATGCAGTTATCTCATACTTACACATTCTTACTACTACTATCATTAGAAAGCAATATAAATCGTTAGGGTCTCTTTTTAACGATAAAAGTGACGGTCTATTACCGGGTAAATTGACCGTCAGTACTGACAAAACAAATGTGAGTTAATTGGTGAACCCATCAGCAGTTTCTTGCAGGGATGTTTGCACCCACTACTGAGCCGACTATATTGACTGTGTAATGATATGCACTTTTTTAAAGCCGTTTAACTTATTTAATAATTTTGTTAAAGGCAATACATATTAATAGGTTATATGCAGTTCGTTCAAAGTCGCCTAGAATCGATAAAAGGTTAAGTCAGAGATAATACATAATATTTTAAAAGATATTGCTTGTTGAAATGCTCGTTACATGTGACTAAAATTGGTAATAGGAAAATTGTCTCCACCTCTGCTTGTTCGAACAAAATTTCTGTTGAATGATTTTTAAAACTATTATGCAAATTTGTAATTACGACACCGTTTACAGTATCCTCGACCTCCTTTTCTAGTCTAATAAAATCGAAAATTGAAGATCGAAAAATTGTACAATTTCTATTGTGTTATTACCATTGACAAAAAGCGATTCGTTAAAACTTTCACACATTTTCAAAAATAAGCTGTAGTATATCCAATATTATACGATCACTTAATTCTGCATCTTACATCTTACTTATTGACCGATACATAGACCAAAATTCCTTATTAATTATATGGGGGCTAGGGTTATTATTGCTATTATTAGAGTGAGGCGCTCTCTTAATTTCTTCAAGATATCTCACATATTGACTGGTATATATTATATAAAATCAACAGAAAGTTCGAAAATCTTTCTACTATATACATAGGGGTTAGTCAAGTACTGAACTGATGTTATCTATTTGTAGCATTGTGACATATTATTTCAAGTAAAAGATATTATATTTTCTAACTTTCATTAAGCCACCTCACAGCCTTACTGATATCAACAGTAAAAAGTCAGCCATAGGCACTGAGGTCCAGATATACGATATATGGCCACATGAAGCCGCACCGTATCATCTAAGGTGTAAAATTTAATGTCTCCGACCCATTTAATTATTGAGTTATCGTTGCACGGACAGACGGACCAACAGTCACTTGGATTTCAACTCGTTATGTTATCCTGATCGTTTATATACTCATATATATGTATAACTTAATATCTATGTCTATTGGTTGTAGGCGTTACAAACAACCTTTAGGGCAACAAAACTTTTGTTCTCTCTCTAGCAAAATGTTGCGAGAGTACAAGTATAATAAGAAAAATATGGTTATGGTAATATGCAAACCATATTATTCCATTAATTTATGAATACTTATTGGAACTTTGACCCTGGTAGACTGGGTAATATTTAATTCATATATTTATCGGTGACTATAATATATGTTTAATTTTATTAACTTAACGATTTTCCTCCTCCCATCCAACCGATGCGATGGGCACAATTCGCATATGTGCGGCATTAGCCGAGTCATGACAGTCAACTGCTTAAACTGTAACGTAAATAAATAATAAACAATTGTATTTTTTTTTTTAAATGTAAGTTTTTATTTTATTTTAGTTCATAAGAGAGCTTTAAAATTGGATAATTAATAGGTGTATAAGAGCGTGATAACTGATTTGTACTCAGTATTCTGATAGCAATGAGCATGAATTACTATTGTATACATTTTAATTACATATGTACACCGCCATTCATAGGTATAGGTACTATTAAGGTATGAATTCTAGTTAGTACAAATTTTACTGTTGAACTTCATTAAAGTAGCTTAATTTATGAGAATGCATTACTTAACCCTTGCTTCATGCGAGTCGTCCATCCAATTTAGTTAAAAATAAAGAAACAGTGTTAAAAAATAGTCGTGTTGGCATCAGACGATCTCAACATCTCTTATGAATCGATTCCACCATTTTGGCTATAAATCGTGTTAACTCCAGACTCGTACCAAATGACCAGAATCTTTTGCAAGACGGCGCTTGAAACGTAGCTGAGGACCTTACATTCATCAAATGCATTATTGCCGGTGACAAGACGAGATTTGACAGACAGAATAAAACAGTATTTACTAAAAAATATATTTTTTTTGAATACTAGGCGCAATATGATGTACATAATTTGCAAACAGGATTACTTTACAACGCTTAAAAATGAATAATAAAATATAAATAATTTATTTTAAATCTAATATTATTTATAATATGTACATTATACTAGTATATCATCTTATACAATTTTAACAACAATACTCAATAATTTAGAGAATAATTGGGAATTTTTCAAAATTGCTTAGGAAGATTGGCCATTTAAATAACTCCTTCATTAAAACATAAGATCACATAACTTTTATAAAATTTAAACTCTTTTTTCCAGTTTAACTTACATGACATTTGGTGTCCTTACAATTAACCGGCTTCGAGCTTTATATCTTGATCCTTCATTAGACGTTAAATTTTAAAGGGTATATATATATATATACATATTATATGTATAGAAATTTGTGCACCTTACGGCAATATTAGATTATTGGCTAGACGAGTTAACTGGCACTGAGGGGTGTAGACGAAGGGTCTCCAAATACTTCAATTTCGATAGCTGCTGAATTTCCAATTAGTTGAAATCATCTCTTACAGTATAATAAATAAACTTAGAGACAATTTTCAAAAGAGCCGTCAGCAAGTTAAAGTACTTATTGATAGCAGCGTTCTTGCATTTCTGGATATAGTGCGGTCTCTGCAAAGCGAGGTAAAGCATTTTACAAAATGTATACAAATAAGTTAGCAAAGTCTAAATTAGAAATGATCTCACTAAAGATACTAGATACTTTGAAAGTGTGAATCCACAACTTAACTTTTCGAGAGCAACTTTTTTGAAAGCCTAACTATTATAAAAACTCGATATTAATTTGGAGTTTGTTCCTTGGATTACAGAATTTCTACCAGAAAGTGTATTGTATAGTGAACTTTTCTCTATTCAATAGATTTTGTGTAGGGACGGAAGCCGTCCTTAAAACTGCTTTTGAAACTAAAGCTGAACTTTTGAAAAACACTAAATTGGTTTAAATTTATTGCCAATCGAAAACAACATAAGAGAAGATTGGCACGAAGTCTGATATGTTTGTCTAGCTCTAATAAAATAAAATTACTAGAATTAGGATCCCAAATGGTTCGTAAAAGAAACGGTTTGAAATGTCTTTCATTATCATATGTATAATAGATTCATGTATCCTTTCATTTTCCCATTAAAAAGTTTGTAAAAGTAAAATGCCTACTTTGCGGGTTCAGGTAATTTCTGGTCTAAAAGTTCATCTCTAAAAATTATTTTCGTTTCCGTTTCCCATTAATGGTTTCATCCGATTTTAGAAGCACATAATACAGCACGCGCTTCTGCTCTCACCAAATGCAGAGCATTGCGTTAGCTTCGTGGATATTTCGCTTTCCCGTTGATTTGGAAGGTTGGCCACGTTTCACATATGATTTTTTGATTTGATTCATATATAATCCTTATTTAGTTTGTATAGCTATGCGATTATGATCGCACTAATCTATAATGTCCAGTACACCATGACGTATAAGTTACAATTCAAATAACAAGAATCAAGCAAAGAAATGCAAACTAACAAAGTAAAATGTTCGCTCGAAAGTCAAGATCGCAACTGAAACTGCATGGAACTTATAATAAAATCAAGATTGTGCCATTGTTTATTAGCTATCTGCAGCTAATAATATTGCAAATAAGATATAAATTATGATAAGATAAAAATACACCCTCTTTGAAGTTTAGAACTGTTGTACTCTCGAGCTCTGTCAAATATCTTAAGCTGGAGAGAACATATTGAGAGCAGGGCGTCCAAAACTCTTTGGAAACACCCCAAAGTGTGGCTCCAACCCTTACTAGGCCGAAGATCTATATACCATATGAAGGGCATGGATTACATGGATTGTATTAAACATAAGCATGCTTTTATTGGCTCAGGAGCCTATTTTGAAGACGATAAAGATCTGTATTAAAAACGTAAAAGTGTATTTTTTTTTTGTCAGTACGGGTAATAATGCACCAAGAGTTATTGTGCTGAAGAACTGAAAATCTAAAATGGAAGTATGCATTAAAATTATTATGAGTTACTTGCTTAAGTAATACAGTTTTATTAATAAAGTAAATAATTTAAAACTTATCCTCTCTAAAATCGACCTGAGGTAAACAGCATCCTGCATTTACTTTGCAGATCTTTGATGGGGCTTTATAATATTAGTTAAATTATAAAAGTTCAGTTAAAAAGTCACAGTCGCTTAAGGGTTAACTCATTATTACTATAGTTGATAAAAACAAACACACTTTTGAACGATTCTCCGCAAAAACGCCTGACTTTAAGCATATCAAAATATAATATAAGTTTGCTTGACCAATTACCTCTTTTTATTTAATATTAATATATTTTCTTAAAGTTATATAATTTTTTTTTCGTGTTGTTGACGTTCAGCTGGAAAAAGTATAATTCGTTCTTTGTACTTGTTACCTTTAAGGTTAGGTGTTTTTCATTTATGTTCTTTACAGTCTGAATAATGTATTTAATATTAATATTATTATATATTAATAAAATTAAATTTAATATGTAAATAAATATTTTTTGCATTCTTGAGCGTAATGTAATGCACAAAGATTTAAAATTGAATTACATAACAACGTTTGAAAATAAATAATTTATTATAAGATAGTGATTATAGTGAGGAATAATATTATTTATGGTCTTTAAGGTTAACATTTTTAACTTTTCTCTTTTCGGAAACTCAGTTCTAACCTCAAAATAAATCGTTAATATTTCCAGAGCTGACGATTTTGAACTTCTTTTAACGTAAGTAGAAATTTCATAGATTTTGATCATTACCGGAACTTATCCCGTGAGTGACAGCTATGATGCCACAGCTAATGGATACAACAGAAGAAGTTGGAAATACACACTACTACTTGATTTCAAACTATTCAAGAATATTTGTCATTATTTTTAGTGATCCATATATATAGGTACAGTAATATACAAGTTATTTATTTTATTTTTAATATTGTTTATGCTAGCTCTTCTGCGAATAATTGCCGACGCTTGTCAATTGTCTGGCTGGCGAAGTTGTAGACAGTTGAAATGGGTTTCTAAATTTTGTGCGCTAAAAATATTTTGTATATGAGATTCAAAATATAAAGTGGATTGGCAAATCGCATCAGTAATACTTTTTTGATTTTTTTGAAACTGGAAATATATTGATCGATATTCATTTGATCATCTAATTGACACCCAATGTGTTCTATGTAAAGCGAGGTCAAGGATTTCACAAAATATATACATAACACTCAGTAAAGTCGCGGTTCGAAAGTACTTAGCCAAAATAAGAATAAAGAATTTTGTTATATGCCAAACCCCAAATTCACTGTCTAAGGTTTTTGTAATTTTAAGGGTTTTGATTATAACTGTTTTTGTGTTTCAGAAAATTATAGACCATTCCTGGAGTATAACTCGAAAACATAGTTCATTCGCTCACTATCTCGTATTGATAGACAGATGCTTGAACAAGCACGAGGTAGCTGAGATAGTAGACAATTCGAAAGTCCGCGCATTCAATTCTGGGCATGAAAAACTGTCTGCGCGCTGAGTGCCACCTATGCTTACTTCGCTGCTGTTTAACCGCAACTCGCATGAATTTCTTTGTCATTCTGAGACCGTCCATGAAACATGACTGCACTGGCTCATACCAGAGACCAAGGAACAGTCAAAACTATGCAAACGGCTGCAGTAAATAGTGTCCTATATGTCGAAAACGTTATAACCACGGTGGATCCAAGAAAAGGACATCAGTTTATAAAAACACTGTAATAGTTTCTCTGCTGATTAAATTACAAAATAAAACGTATTGCATATTTATAGCTTACCACTGATAGCGTTGAGTGCATATTTTGGTATAATTTCGTTTAAAGTCACAGAACTTAAATCGTTAGCTTCGAAACTCTCCACAAATTTTTTACTCTCTTCACTGGAAAAAACGTACATACATGTATTTATTAAATGATTTTAATAAAAAAATTTAAATATAAATTATACTATACCGAAAAGTATGAGCATATTTGTATAAAATTATTTGAAAACTCTCTTAAAAATCTCTGCGAATTGTCCACGTATGTTATAATGGAAAGAAGAAGTCAGCATCTTTCTACGAGGGTGTCAGTTTTTGTCTAAGCCATTGGATAAAGAAAATATAAATTTAATATAAATTCATACAGACAAATAATTATGGCACCTGATGAACAGCAGCATTAAACTATTAACAATACACTTGGTGATTAGATTATTCTGTTCGCTCATCACAAGCTTAACGCAGCGGTGATTATGGCATAAAAAGGTGTAAAGAGTCCATATTGCAGATAACAAATATAAATACATATATATATATATATATAAATTTTAATTAATCCCATTTATAAGTGCAGCAGTTAAATTATGATATCTCAATTGTCACATGAATTATCGGATGACCCGATTGTGCAAAGGGACAAATTAATGAAATCAATACGCACACCATTCTGAACTTTTTGATGCATACCTACTTAATAATATATCTATATATCTATAAGTTCTATGTATCATAAATAGTATTGTGTAAACTCATCGTTATCAGAGGATAATAGAAAGTAGAAGGCAATCTGTACGCAACCGTTTAGCAAATAATTATACCACCACATAATCCTTATTTAAACAAGTGATTAAAACAAAAAGTGGCATAATAACGTGTTTGCTTATTTACATAATATAAAAGCTATTGATGCTTTCAAAAAAAAAAAAAAAAAAAATATGAAAGAAGGCGCTATATTTAAGCCATAGATCAGTGACTCATATATATGTATGTATTAACGGAATTAAATAGTAAATAATTGATTTTTATAATGTAATATTGTACATATAAAATATTTGTTTTATTTGAGTACTCAATATAAGTGAGTGATAAGAACGAGCAGAATTTACTATTTCAGGCATTTAAGCAAATTACAAATGTACACTTACAAAGATATGTGCGTAAATGCCAGCCGGTGCACTTTATTTATAATGAGCTTCTTAATTAAGTAGCTTATAGATTGTATTTGCTTAACCCTTGTTAAGTCCGACGTTCGATGTCTTCTGGCGTTTTCAGCAAGCGCTGGTCAAGTTTTTAGCAAGCGCTGGTCAGAGTGATCCGTAAGAGGTCCTTCGAACTACTAGCTCTTAACAAAGCCAATCTCGTCCCAATTGTTAGTGTTCTGACTGGACACTGTCCACTAGGTCTACACGCGGTGCGGCTAGATATTCTGCTGGACGCTCTTTGCCAAAGCTGTATGGAAGAAGGCGAGGTGGAAGCGATTTGTCACTTTCTCCTATATTTTCCGGCTTTGGACAGGCTGAGATTGAAATATCTCTGTCCGCACACTTTTGGTGACCCTGGCGAAGTGGCCTGGTATTGAAGTTAACCGTCTTAATAAATTTGATGTAAGCTCAAACCGCTTCGTCGATCGATGAGGATCTGGTGATCCACTTTTACGAGTTTATGGATAACCCAATTGACAAGTATCTGTCCAAGTTAGATCCATCGATTTTGGATCAACGCTACGACCTATACTAACCTTATATACATCAACTTTCCGTGGTTTTACTTCTCTAACCTCAAAGTTAAAAAAAACCTAAATGTCTTGAGATTTGATGATCTTCAACAGTGGCAACAATTATTAGATAATTTGATCGAAGGGTATATAAGTACATACAGTTTGATGCAAAAACGTAACCAATTATTTAGTTTCGAGAGAGAATGCTTGGAAGAAAAAACTGATCTGGTTACACAGATACCGCTGTTGTTGGATCAGACAGTCTTCGGATGCATAAAAGTCTAACTAATAAGATTAGCGTTCCTATCCAATAAACAAAAGAGAGCTTGAATGAGCTTCTAGAACAGCACTATATATATATATATATGTATATATATATATTTCCTACAACATAATCACTAAGGTTCAGTATTATTCCATTACGAGTACAATAAAAGCCGAGAGCAATATTCAAACTGATCGTCATCCACCACGCACTAGCCATAACCATCTAATTGCGCTCGGTTTTCTGTAGTTTTATAGATTTGGGTCGTCAATATTTTTTAGCCTCTTAAGCCTCACAACGGCTAATAATATAAATAGAAAATAGTTTCACTTTCACCTTAGATCGCAGACCAAGTTCCAAATTAGAGCAGAACTTTATTTGAGATATACTCGTATTGCGAGTTCTCGGCAGACGATCAGAGCAACGATCGACTGATTTTGTTATCAAAAGTTGATGTCTTACAGAATGAGCAGCGTATTTTGTTCATAAGTAAAATGTACAATACTTTAAATTTTCTAATATTGAATTTCTTTATAAATTCATTTAAAGTTTTGGCATAAAATTGGTTATATGAAATGGCTTCAATTTCTGGATGCTTTTATATGTTCTAAGATGGAATCAGGTACTAGATCTCTTCTGCAGTTTCACTTTGATCGCGTTTGGTGTCCTTAAAATAATGCCAGTTTCAAACCGCAAATCTTTTGAATCCATTAGTGATAAAATTTTAAACTTCTTTAACATATAAACCAACAAAGTTTTTATCTCCAACATGGTAAATTTTTGACCTTAAATAAAATTAAAGCATATGAAGATAATCAAATAAAATATCAAACCACAGTAAACTAACCAATGCAATTTCGTGGCCCAGCGCTAAAAGGTATGTAGGCGTAAGGATGCCTGCCCTCTGAGTTTTCTGGTGTAAAACGTGTCGGATCGAACCTGTTTGGTTCTGGAAAATACTTGGGATCGCGATGTATATCAAAAATATGTATGGAGATTTGAGTGCCCGCGGGCAAAAAGACGTTATTGGCAAGACTGGTATCGCGCATTACTTTGCGCATTATGCCCGGCACTGAGGGATACAGACGCAAAGTCTCCTTAATGAAACACTCAAGGTACTTCAGTTTGCCAAGATCATTGACATCCAGCTTTTGTAAATCATCTGTAAAAGAGAGGAATGAAAAATATATAAATATATATGTGTATATTTAATCTATGTAACGTTCAACAAACTGTCTATGTGCTCGAGTAACTCTTGATAGCATAACTCCTGCATTTCTGGGAACAGCGAGAGGTTCATCAGTGTAAATATCAGCGCCATCGAAGTGGTATCGAAACCTTCGAACATAAATGTGTCCACTTCCTCACAAATACCCGCATGATCAATGAGCCCATCACGTTCGGCATGTAATAGTGTGTCCAACATGGCGTAGCGCTTCTTTTTAGTAAAACCGATGCTATATTAAATTAAGAATAATAATTAAGTAAAACAAAAATAAAAGAAAGAAGCGCAAATTTACTTTTCATCATTTGCCTGCTTAACCGGACTATGCTCCAACTCTGCGACAAATAACTGTCGGCGTTTGTGTATGATATTACTGGAGAAATCATGTACGGTTCTCAGATGTTTCTCCATTTTAGGTGCCATAAAAATATCATATATAGTATCGATCATATAGAAGGGATTACGAATACGTGCAACAAAAGCTTCCTCGATCATTTTAAAACTCGCACGATATTCTTGGTCATCAAGTTGTTCATCCAGTTTGACACCCAAAGCTGCCTCTGTGTGTGAAGTGTTAGAATCCGAAATTTAGCATTTGTTAAAGTTTTCGTATATTATCGCAATTCGTATACATTATATCTCAATAAACACTCACTAACCACAAACGCTATTTAATGTAAATTTCGGTATGATTTCATTTACAGTGACTGCGTCAGTTTTTATGGCTTCTAATTGATCCACGAATTTTTGGCTTTCCTCTCTATAAAATATTAATAAGTTGATGCCAATTTAAATAATAACGAAATACAAAAATAATATTAATCAAGCACAATTTTTATTGTACATATAATTTTATGTTGGGTTAGCGCAAAATTTAATCAATTTTAGAAGGAAAAAATTTTAGACCATTGGCCAAGTGGTCATTGGCAATTCGAAATCATGCATGCTACGTGGAGTAGTCAAATATAAGTAATATAACATTTGAGAGTTATTAACTAGGTCTATGAATAGTAAAAAGTTTCATACAATCTGAGTCATCAAAATTACGCTGGACTAATAAAAATGTAAGCTCTAGTAACAAGTAATCCTTTATTTTTGAAACAGATGGATGGCTATAAGTATCTTGCGTTTTAGATAAAAATCCGTTCTAAGAAAAATTCTGAGACAGTCGTGCTTGACTCCCCAGAAAAAAAAAATAAATACGTTATACTATTTAACAGTATTGCTTTCACAAAGGCGAAAACGCAAACCAGGCGGCTAAGTTAGATACAGAAAGGACTTCGATCTATGGCTGCCACATAAATTAAGACACAAAACCTTATGGACCGATTTTACATCTGCGAATTGGAATAAAGTCGCTTCATTTCTGAAGGGTATGGTTACTGGTGATGAAAACACGAGCACAAAGTGAATCGAAATCGGTAGTGGTGGAATTGCGGCGAACCGGTGCAAATGGTAGCCAACCCTTGACCTTTTGGAAGGATTTGCTATATGTTTAGTGGGATCGGCTGAGAACCATCTACTATGAACTGTTCCCCTACTGCCAAATTTTTACCTGTACTGCCAACAATTGGACCGCCTGAAGGTAGTAATCGCTCAGAAACGGCCAGCTTGGACCAATAGAAAGAATTATGTTCCATAAGGACAGCAACAGACCATACACTTCGATAATGACTCGCCAGAAGCTCCAGAAGCTTGGTTGGGAGGTTCTTATACATCCATCTTATAGTCCGGACCTCAAGATAAGTTCGTGAACATCGAGTTTTCTACGAATAGGGACGAAGGTTTCTATGAGAGTGACGTTATGAAATTACTTTCAAAATGGCAATAAGTTGAACAAAGCGGTGCATATTTGAACTTGACCAGATCATTCTAACTATGATAAATAAAACCTTAAATTTAATCCAAGAATAATGGATTTCTTTAGACAACGCCGTATTTCATAAGAGCCTTAAAAATGAAAGAACTTGCAGATATAATTGTCGAACTGAGTATCTATAATTACTTATTATATAATGGCTATTGGATACATTAATTATGGATTTAATGGCTCATACTAACTTTAGCTTTAACTTTAGATTGAATATTTGAACCGATTTTACTTTATCTCCCAGTTATCACTAATTAATGCTTATAATTTTTATTTTATGTACTTATAAGTAAATAATGATTATAAATATTGTTGTATGGTCTTATTAGTAAGCACTCACTTGAAAACCTCCTCATATTGTCCAAGTATATTGAAATGAAAGGCGGGTGTTAACATTTTTCTGCGCGTATGCCATTTTTTATCTAAAATATAAAATTGTATAAGAAAGAGTTTAGTAACTTTAAATAAAGGTATATGTAATATATATATAAATAACCTTACAAAATTATCATACAGCATTTTTTAATCATTGTAATCACAATACTTTTAAGTAACGCCGTACCAATTAATTACCTGTTGATGTCAGTAGACCCGTGTGTAGGAATGGTTCGAGGAAATTGTATGCAATACCTTTCGTAATCAGATTCTTATCATTCAGCAATAATTCAGCATCTTCGGCGGTAATTACATTATAGAAAGTCGTAAATAGTCCATATTCCACATAGCTTTTAAGCAGAGTGGTCGCTGAAATGCGACAGCTATCGAAGAGTACAACTGCAATTTTGTAAATTATTATTATTACTAGTATCTATTGTTTAGTACATATGTATGTAGGTATGTAGGTGTGCTTAGTATTCTAACCATTATCAGCGCCAAAATAATCGAAAACATTTGCAAATATTGTCTCCGCCTTCGCCTGCGGCACAATATGCTCCAGCGGTGTACCGTCAACGGTTTTTAAGCGCTTGGCAAAAAATGCCATTACACAATAATCCCGATTTAGCTTGTATAACCAGGCGGCAAGAAAAGCCAAAGCGACGATGAATAGCTGGAGCCACATTGCACAAACTCCACAATTATCTTACATAGGTATACCTATCTGAGCGTAGGTATGTATTATGCACTCGCAAGCAAAGCTTCGGGGTTTGGTTTGTATTAAACCTTTTTTTTTTTTAAGGAGAGTATTAATTTAGTTTAACTATGCGCCAGAGCGATCAAAACATAACTGAGCTCTTAGTTTTAGAAGCTCTGCGGAATTGCATGAATTTTAAGATAGTTCGTAACAGTATGTACCTTTGTATGTATATGAATACCGTGGCGTATAACATGTAATAAAAGCTGGTGTGTGTATACTAGGAGCAAATGGGGCGGATGGGGTGCAAATGCTGTATTTGAATATTAGATGAGGTATGACTGACAGATGAATTTAAATACAGGTATATACATATGCACGTATGACGGGCAATGATATATAGTATATGTGTACATACATACATATATGCATATGTTCATATAGATATAAGTAAAAATGAATTTATTTGTGATTATTGTTTTTGTTTCGAGCTTATTTTAATGCAGTAATAAATTGAATTAATTTTTATACCATAAGCCGGGTATATTAAGTTTGTCACGAAGTTAGTAACAGCCAAAAGAAAATGTCGGAAACCTTACAAAGTTAGTATATAAATGATCAGCGTGATCTAATTTTTTTGTTATCTTATACATTTGCTGCTTAATTCACAATTTAATTTATACCCATTATATACAAGTTCTAAAATGAAATTTATTCTAAGTATAATTCTTAATGCGGTTTATTAATTGGCTTTAATACAATACTTACTTTGGGTAATAATTTAACACCTTCTAGGAGTTCCTTGAGTAAAAGGTTTCTAATGAGATACTTAAAATTTAAATAAATACAAACTCCCGCAATTTTAAATCGTTTTTACTGACTTCTTTTACTTCAGAAATAACGATTTTTTTATCATATATACGAATATTAATGTAATGTATTATTTACTAAAAAATAATTTAAAAATTATTTCTGCATCTTTTTATACATATATTAAGTGTTGACAAATTCTTATTTTAAGCATAAAAAATAATGAAACCAATTCAAAAATGTCCCCATTATATTTTTATTCCCACTATTTTCCAGCCACACAAAGTCGTTGTGCGCTCAGTTACTTTTATATAAAAAGTGGCAGCACTCGTCGCAGCGGGAATGCAACTGTCAGTTCACAAACAATAACAAGAATTGTGAACACAAAGCAAACCGTCAAAGTGTCGAAACATTCCCTCCCGACCGTAGGTTCCAAATAGTGGCATTAGAGCAAAACTGATTTGTGGTGTCTGTTGGAATTTTTATAAAACTTTAGTGTTTAAGTAGATTGAGACAAAAGTTTAAAAAATATTTTAATTTATATAAAACTAAAAATGCATGTTTCCATTCATGTGTGAATTGGTGCTGCGTTTCCAAGTGTTTTCCATGTTAGTAGTGTGTATTCTACGTGTGTAGCGAGTTTCTACTCCGGTGTGCCGATTTGTTAAATATTGGCGTTCCTATGCGGTTTTTGTAATCAGTGTAAAAAAATTGCATTTGCAGCAATTTATGAATTTGCAATGTACAAACTTCACGAAATCTTAATCGAATATCATGAAATTGTAATAGAAAATCAACGCAACCATAATTTATAAACGGAATAAAAACGTTTGTTCCAACGCTGTGACGTAGATTTCATCTCGTGCCAATTATACAGCAGCCTTTGCTTTTGCCTAGACAGCAATAAAAAGCCAACCCACAAGTATACAATTACAACAAAAACGGGACGTCCAGCAGCGGAGAGTGCCTTTAGAGTGTGAGATTTTAGGATATGAAAAACGTCTTCTGATTGCCTGCCTCAAATTGACTCCATTAAGGTGAATATACAGAATTGTATAGCTTTTATGCATGCGGAACTAAATTAATTTTTGTTTCACCCCCGCAAGTGTGGGACATGGAACATTTTGTGAAGATGTATAGATGTAAGAAGATGTATGCGGCGAAGAGCAGTACTTGTTTTTTAATTAATGTGGTACTAGAACAAATCTACAATTAATTTTACAGTTGTACGGTGTTACATATAAATTAATGGTAAAAGTGGAGTACTATATGACATTAAATACACACAAATTATTGAAGGGGTGTGAAGTTAGATACCTACTTAGACAATAAATAAATTTACAATGGTAAAAATTCTATAAGTATCCATATATAAAGTACAGTATGCATACATACATATATATGTATACATAATAGTAGTTGCAAGAGTTAGCTGATAATGTGTGAAAGGATTTGACTTCGTTATTATTCATTAGATTGCAACGTGCTTTTTCGAATAGAACATATCTACATACATATGTATGCATATATGTACATATAGCGAATGTGTATATATATTATTGTAGTATACTTATATAAGACATTCCGGCCCAACTTTTAATTAGTCCAAATGTCTTTCTATTAACAAAGAAAAATACGACATTTTTTATATTATATGCTACAAAAAATATATATCTTTTAGCAAAATAAAAAAAAATGTCAACAGTTCGTGCGTTTAAGTGATGGTGATTATTTCTTATATTTTTACTAGCTATTGTTTTAAAGATGTTTTTAGACAGTAGAATTATGTGTGACTTTGTATACTGCTTACCTTTTGAAAAGCGTTTAAATTACTAGTTAATTTAAGTTTCCTTGTGACAAAGGCATTAGAGTGAGTACGGCGTGGGACCACCATTTGAAGTAGTACGGTAGTACACGCATATTATTAGTGAATTAAAAAACTTGACAAACCGTCTAAAAATGAGATATGCCAAAGAATATAAATGAACATTTGTACATGCATATGGGTTGACAGTCCTTGGATGGATAAAAATTCGGATCCAATACGGTTACGTAGAACGGACTGTCGCAGGCATATGTAATCATAGGTATTGAAAGACGAATATTCAATATTCAATACAAAATTTATTTTGCGTGCGAGTAGACATAATATAATTTTTTTCAATTTAGAAATGTCGCGTGTTTAGAAATTTTTCATTTATCAGCAATTCTGATGATTCTTATAGTACACACACAAGTTAAAACGCATAAAAAACTGTAAAAAGCGCTAACAAGCGAAAAAGTTGAACAGAAATAATAATTAAAATATTTTATATATGTACATACAAAATATACAATCTATACAAATAAACTTATTTAAAAACGACGAATGCTGATTACACTTGAAATACTTAATTTTGTACGTCGTTATCAATTTTATTTACTTCATTAATAATGTTGGGTTTCCATTAATATGAACGACCCTGTATCACGAAAGCGAAAAAAAGAAGAAAGCAACTATTTACTAAGTTTTTGGTTTTGTCTTTGCCTTTGTTTACCTCTTTTGATTTTTACACGCATACATACATATATACATGTAGTTCATTCAACCCAATCGCAGCGGAATGCTAATAAAGTTGACCGCTCAGATAATAACATTGCGGCTTTATAGTATCTAATCGCTTATAAAAAAGTCGCAGGTAACAAAAAATTTTTGGTGCCTTTCCGTTTAACGCCAATTGAAGCTACTTGTGTTTATTTATCACAAATGTTTGTATTTGATTAATCATTCCATGTGATTTAATTACTCTAGCTACCATATGTATGTATGTTTAATCGTTCTGTTTGTTCAACGGCATTTGTTATTCGCTCAATTTGATGAATATTTTGTAAACATATGGTTTTATTCTATTCAATTGCTTATATTAATAACAAAATTAGTAATCGCCTATTCTCTTATATATGTTATTTTGTATGTGTGTATCTGTATTAGTGGGCCATTGGTTTAATTTTGTTGTTTTGCGAAATTAGAAAAAATGCATCTACACGTGCCATTATTTCTGGTACAAGTAAAATAGCAATGTTTATGCACAACTGCATGCTTTGTTATTGATATTGATATACTTTTGGATTTATACCCTTGACGAAAAAAGAAAGTTAAAAAGTATAGTTAATTGAACGGGATATAAATTAATTCTATTTTTTTTTTGATATTTTAATGTTTTTAGAAATTATTAAATTTTTATAAACAAAGCATATGAATTATTAATAACTGTAGCAAATAAATGTGGTTTATTCATATTTCACATAATATGTATAGTAGGTACTCATACAATCAATTATTGTTTCAGTTGAGCTTTTATTTCTTGGAATTGTATTGCAATGTCTCGATCATAAATTCAGAATTTAAATATAAACACAATTCAAAGAAAATTAATTATCAGCCGTCATGAAAAGGGGTTTCACAAATGCTCTATAGTAAAATTTTTTAAATGTGAACAAATTAAGCTTAAGGTAGTAGGAGCATTTTATTATCTGCTAAACTTGCTTTTCACTCACTATTAATCACTATTGTTAATATTTTCTGTATTTTATTGATCTAGTAAAAGTAATACAATGATCAATGTAGTTTCATAAAGTCAAATAAGTTTTTTATGTTTTTCTCATCAATTTCTTGTTTACATTTTGATGATTTTCTGTGGTTTACAATCTATTTGTATTCAGCTTTTCCTCCAAAAACACATTTTTATTGAGTGGAATGTTTGAAAAATATACATATATACTTGTATGAATCATAAAAACAAAGCATAAAAGCTGATTTTGACGTTATGCTTTAAAATATTTTGACTAATTGTCGGCTATCGATACAACCTTATATAAGGTTTGCTGCTAGCTAACAAGGAGAAGAAGAATTCAACTTACTACCACAAAGAGCGAAATAACGACAAAGTAAAGAAATGAAAACAAGCAGAAATAAGCAAAAAAAAATTGTATTTAATAATCACATCATATCAAAATTTGAAAATTTATATATATAATAATATTTTTTAGCCCAACTCAAAACTATTAAATCAAACCAAATTTAAGCAAATGCGTCAAATATCGCTTGTTTACACTTGTGTTTTAACAGCCGTTTCTTTGTATGGCAGTAGCTATTCAACAATTAATTTCACTAGAAAAAAACTAGCAGCTTTTCTTCATCTTACACTCTTAACTTGTGCTCTATTTTTTTAGTTTCTTAGGCTAAGTAACTCTTTTCTAGCAGCAACTTGACTATTTAGTGATAGTAAACAGTTAAGAAAACAATCTCTAATTGAATTATGTGTAGGTTTAAATATGGTGAACAGTTGTCAAATAATGAACGTTTTTTAATAGGTATAAATTAAATATCTATTGTATTTGATTAGAAACTCATTTGTTTAAATGTTAACAAGTGTTGATATATTTTTTTGGGTAAACATAAGTTTTTGCCTAAATTTTTCGTCTATAGCCAAGAATGTTGGAGACAAGACTGTGACATTCAACATCTTAACTTAAACGAACTGTGAAATGTTCGTTATAAGTGTAAATAAAGCCTCATTCATGGTGTCACAAACCAATGTAGTTTTCTGTCAAACGCATTCCAAAAAAAGTAACAGAATGTAATTGTCGTAATCACTATTTCTATCATTTAGTCTTTCAATTTTTGAGATATCAGTCTGAAAATTTGTACGCGTTCTTTTCTATCCAAAAAACTGTTCATTTGTCGTAACCGTCGATATTGGACCATTATAGTATATAGCTGCCATACGAACTGATCGATCAAAATCAAGTCTTTGTTTGGAAAACTTTTATATCTAAAAGATATCTTCCTGATATTTGGCATAGGAATATACTACCAGGAATATACTACAATCTTAGAACATATTGTTCAGATCAAACCACCATGTCATATAGCTTATAGCAGCATAAATTAGGTTGATATGCCTGGAAAATCATAAAAGGCATTGAATATATAAATTTTAGACTTTTTTCTTATTTTATTTGCAATAATTTATATGTGTTGTTTCGACTTATTGCAAAATTGCTCAATTTATTTTCTTTCATCCGAATAGTATACACCTTTTCGCTTTGCTGCGTGCATGGTATAGAACTCCATCAGTTATTAGTACGCTTTCGTGCTACTATATTTCCATCAGCTGCCCACTTTCGCTCCCCATACATATATATGTATGTACACAATTATGTATTAATTGATCTTTTGCTTCCCATGCTTTGTGCTTTTGTTTTTCATTTCAGTCGATATTCATTTTTCCTTCACAATATATCTTTTACTTTTCAATTGCAAATTTATTAATTCATTTTTTTCTTTGTTCAGCTATTTTTAAATTGTGCCAGTTTGTCGCCCATACAAACGTAGATACTTGTGCATATGTACATACAAATATGTATGTGTATGTAGCTCTGTGCATTGGTGTGTAGTGATTATACCATGGATTGAAACGACGCAACATTTAAGCCCACTTGTCCGCACTAGATATTCAACGTACACATGTATGTATGTTTGGCTATGTATATTTATACTTGTATATATGATATGTATGTATATGAAAATGTGTTAAAACATGCCGGCAGCCGTACGTTCGGGGATTTATAAGCGCCAACAGCTGTCGCCGTTGTGACCAACATTGTGCGCGTCCGCTCACCTTATTCGCGTGTATTTATTTGCCCACCCCAGACATGTGGTGGCGATTGTGAACGGCTGCTGCAACGACGACGCCGTCGCTGGTGTTGTTTACGGCAGTGGCAGCGCCAAAGTTATCATCGCCTCAGCTGTGTCCGTTCACTTTGCGCCACTTTAGTGCTGAGGTGTTTCGGCCAGGCCATTGGTGGCACTAATAGAGTCTGCCGCTTTAGTGCTGCATCATTTTGCTAACGTTTCAGTTGTAATTAACGTGCGAATCCAATTGGTAGTGATTGTAACTACTTCCCCAACAATGGCAGTTCGTCGTAGATTTGCTAGTGTATTGATAACTCACTACTGAGCCGACCGCATGCATTCATTATTGGTCGTGTTTTTGTTATTGTGCTGCTGCATGACGTCGCTAAATTTCAGCTAACTCGGGTTTTATTGCTCGTTGCTTTATTTGTGTGCACTGCATTTTAGGGAGCGAAATTTTCCGTGAATACCCGCAAGAAATGTTGAGAAAAGTGCTGTTGGCGCGAAGGTAGGCGGAAAATATACAGTTTCCCATTGCATGTTTTTGTCATTGTTGTAATTGTGTGATGAAACAGGTGATTAATCCATGGAAATGAAACAACAAATAATAACAATAAATTTGAAATAAGAAAATAAAAGAGTAATAATTATATAAATGCATAAACTCATTGTTAACCGAAAATGTCAAAAATATATTCACAAAAACTATTTTAATTAACTTAAACAATAAACAAAATGAAATAAATTAATTAAAAATTTAACAAGAAATTGTACTATTATATTAAATTATTACTCAAAATAAAAAAACCACAAAAAACAATAATAAGAAATAATAAAACAAAAATATTAACAACCGCAATTGTCAAAAATATATTTACAAAAACATAACTAATTATAAAAAAACAACAATTAACCTAAAAAAAATTCATAATTTAGCAATAACTTGTGCTATTATATTGAATTTTTATAAAATTAATAATAATTCATTTATTAGTTAATAATGCTTAAATTTTCTGATCAGTTGTGTCTAATGAAAAAAATTGTGAAAAAACATAAATAAACGAATTAAAAATTGTCTGCCTCTCTTGCTGACGTTGATGCTTATATACATAAATAGTGACCATTTGGTAAGCTTAGAATTTCCAAAAGCACCGTAAGCTTAGAATTTCCAAAAGCACCGACGACCTACACGTTTTTGTAATTTCAGCAGTATGAGTCGGAGGTCTTGAACCTTAAATATTTAACAAGTACCAAAATGTGCAGAGAATTATGAAAACCCCAGTGAAACCAAAGTTTCTTAAAATGCTTATAAACTATATATAATATATTATGGTATTAAAGGATTAAAGTTCTCAGAACTGCCAAAAAAGGTCACTGAGTGCTAAAAAAATGTCTAATAAAAATACGCGTGAAATTTAATCTAGAATTGAACAGTGCTAAGAAAAAAATATTTCTTTAAAAAAATGTTGAATTCAGATATGAATACCAGACATACAGCAAGCAAGCCCAGCTTGGTATGATCAATCCAAAATCGATGAAATTAATAAAGAAATGGTGAAAATTAGTTGTGAAATGTCAAAGTATTTTCACATATTTTTGCGATAAAATTTATGCGAATTAGACGTAAAAGTTTTTACAGTGTATCAATACACTTTTTGATAAAAAAAATGAATTATAAAAAATCGATTTTTGTTTTGTGCATACATATACCTATATCGAATGTACATACATATATTTGAAAATGTTCTTCGAAAATTTGAAGGTGAAGTATTTATAAACTTAGTGTAATTGACTCCCAAAAGTTTAAACGAGTTTTTCTGCAGACAATGTTTTTAAATTCGGTGAAAAAATTTTCTCTCAAACGGCTGGACCGATCAGCTGTACCGATATATTTGTCAAATAATGATCAAATGAATAAGATTTTGACAATAATTTAGAATTTTTAAGCCACTCTGAAGCTTAAATTTTTTCACCAAAACGACTAATTTTTTTTTTTTTTGGTAAGCCACCATTTTGTTTAAAACCAATATTTCGACTGGTCCTTTGGTCATTACCTGCTTACATCTATAGTAATCATAAGTTTTTTTAAATTTTTGGTTTGAGATAATTTTAAGCAGAAAAATTTTCCTCACGCCGATACGCTTTTCCGAAGGCTCTCCTGCAGTTCAGCTACGAAATCAAGGGAATACAAAAGTTTTCAAAATGAATCACCGGTTATTAAAGTCCATTGAATTCTGTAAATGTGCATTTATTTATTTATTAATTAAATAAAATTACGCTCAAATCACAAAAAATACGTTTTTTCTACTTGAAAACATTATCAACATTTTTCTAAAAATTGTATATAAACTTTACATTGTGTTGTTAGAAAGTAGGTCTATGCTGTAATGCTATATATTTACACATATTTTCTTTGCAATTATATTTAAAAATAGTTCAATTAATGTTTTTATTTTATATGGCAACTCTACCAAATAATTTGCCTTGTCGAAATAATTATTATAAAGGCGATATTTAACGCTTTGGTATTTAAACTGAATATCCTAGATGTGCCATAAAACTATATATCAATACAAAACTACATAGGTATAACTGTAATTGTATTAAAAGATGCATAAAAAATGCATATACGTACATACATACTTATGCATATGTATGTTAGTATGTCAAATGACCCATCATGCATATTTCATTAAGCCGCATTATGCAGATTGCAGCAAGATATTGCATGCACCGCGTCTGCCACAACGCCCTACGCCGTTGTAATTGTTGTTGTTGTTGCTTTTAGTGCATTCAGTGGGTTGTACGCATGGTATGAGTGATTGGCTGTGTCATTGCGCCGAAATATTACACACAAGTGTGCCGCAGGTTATGTATACGCCACGTTGCACCTTTCCACAGCCACTTCAATAGCAAAAAACAAAAAAAAATTCATAATAAAATAAAAGCAAATAATATGAAAAGCCGCTTGAGCGTCTGCGCGCTGACAAGCATGTTGCATGCATTAACCGCTATAATGCTAACGGTCCTACATACATATGTTGACTGCATTTCATACCACATTATGCATTGGCTTATTATCCTTGAAAGGATAACTAAAATTGCTGGCATGTGCATTGTTTTCATTTTTATTTTTTATTTTTTATTTTTGTCACATTTGTCGTCAGCTCCCCAGCAGCTGCACCTTATCACAGCCTTATTCACCTAGGTTTCTATGTTTTGATGTGTATATGCGCTTGGTGGCATGCAATCATGTGCGCACGGCCTACATTTCAAGGTTGCAGCACCTGTGTCAACCAGCGTCGCTGCAATGTCGATTTAATTGTCTGCAAACAACAACACCCGCTAAGTCTGCCGCTCGGCTTGGCTGTGCTCCCTGTTTGCCTGCGACGTCGGCACTTGGCACACTTAAGCACTCGTATGTTATGATTTTCTGTGCATGAGAACAAATCAGATTCATTAGAAACTGGACATTATGTGTTGGCACAGAAAAGTCATGTGACTCTCCTGTATTCTCTTTGTATGTATGCATGTGTATGTATGTCACGCTCGCTAATACTGTGCTTCGAGCTTGTACACTTGTGTTTATATTTTTCAGATTTGCTGCCATTAAGCACTAGACAGCACCCAACGTCTCGCAGAAATATGCAAATAAATATGCAGATGGCATGCAAATGAAGCGAATTAGATTTGTGGTTCCTTTTACAGTAGTACAAATGTAAATATACACATCATGGTCGCATTGTGTCGGACAATCTATAAACACGCAAGGCGCTGCTTCACACGCCTTGACCAATTTAATATGCTATAAAATAGATATAGGGTGTTTCAAGGTTGTTGTGAATTTTTTCAGTGTGTTGCAGCTTAATGTTTTGAAGGGAAATAAAATGTTCTGATTGAAAATAATTAAATGCTCAATCCGTCGCTTGAATGTCAATTAAATTATTTTTTTAAATATTCTTAGCTTTGTTTTAGCTCCTTTTTAATCCTTTATTCGCATTATATAATACAAAATTGATTTGGTTTTAGTGCTGTTGTTATCTCTATTTTCAAAGTTTATATAAATAATGTGCTGACGTCTTAAACGTTTTGTTTTGATCTTGAAATCTAGACCAGGAATAGTTTATTTAAGAGAATTCTCAAATTATGTATATATAATATATAGTTTGATGACATACCCATTGAGCCACAAAGGGGCCTCATTGCTGAACAAAATTTGGTTCGAAAACCTCGGATCTTCTTGGAGCTTTTCCAAAGCCCATAGAGCGAAGTCGCTTGGGAAGGTCGAGCAGCAAACTGTTTTTTGTACGCTTTTAATTTAAGATATCGACGTAAAATACACCAAGTCGTTCCATGCGTCAGTCCGAATTGCTGCGCACGTCGCCGAATCGACTCTCCACGGTCTTCGTGTACACTCCCAGCTACGGCTACTATATTTTCTTTACTGCGTGCTGGACGTGGTCTATTCGGTCGAATATTATCCAATAATGAATGCTGGGTCTCAAGACGGGTGTTGGCGTTGCAAATAGTACGCTCAATAGGCCGATTATTTTGACCATAATTTAACCATAAGCGAGGCGCGCGAAACATATTCATTACACGTGAATTTTCGTAATAAAGTTGAACGATTTGTAAACGTTGTTTAGGAGTAAGTCTTGCCATGATTAAATGCCAAACAATACTGAACAAAAATAACATGACAGCTTTACACGATTCATGCTTGATCTGTCAAAAAAGGCTATTAACTACTTAGATCACCCATTAAATTGAAGTTACTTTCCGCGAAATAAATAAGTATATATTATTTACTCACTATAATAACAAAAAACCTTCACAATAATCACACCTGTTTTCTTGTAAGTTGAATTCGACTGTACCACCCTGTATCTCCTTATTTGTACACTTACTCGAGTGACCCTCTCAGTAGATGCCACCCACTGTGCCGCTTAGTGTGACAGCTGACACGCAAACCGACCAAGAACAACCAACACGTGCTGCATGGTCACACATACCTATATACTTGTATGTATGTGTTTAGGTACGTGTACTATGTATTTATATGTAGATATATGTACAAGCATATTCCCATTTGTTTACTCAATATCATTAGTTGACAGTCTTCATGCGCCAGCGCTAATCCTCAATACACGCTACACTTAACAAATAAACGCTTGTGCGGCGCTGCACATGTAAATAAATACATCAAAAGCAAACGGTAATTATGGGTTGCATTTTTCCATTTTTAAAAGTGTGGCAGATATCGGCATTATCGATTGTCTTCCATTCAAGCTTGGCGATTAAAGAAAATCAATATGACATCGTACATATCTACATTAATACATACATACATATTTATATCAATACATACATATATGTATACTTAAACGTAGATACAGACCAGCTTTATGCCAAGTCTTAGTATTTCTATAACGATGCATCAACAACCCTGTGTACTCATTCAAAAGTTTTCCTAAATTTTGCTTTTGAGTGTAGGCTTAAAAAAGAGAAATTTTGGAGTTTTCGAAATTTCCTAACTACTTTCTTCTCAAGTATCATTCTCTAAGCAATTGAAATAAATTATTGACATATCGTTACACTTGATCGATTTTGTGTACTCATTATTGATTTTAAATATTCGTTATCGATTGTGTTAATATTTTAGAATTTATGATGTACCTATGTTACCGTTTTCAAGTACCTGCTATCGATTTTATATTCTTGGTACCAATTGAATGTCTTGATCGTATGTGCTCTTTATCGATTTCGAATGCTTGATATCGATTTCAGTTTGTATCGGTTGCGATAGCGATCCGAATTTTATCGAAACAATTTATCGATCTAATCTTTATATATTTACTGTAAACTTACACTTTATCAATTTTGGGCACTAATTATCGGGTATTGATCGTAGTTATCGATTTTTTAAGTTTATCGATTTAAATTATTTTAGATACTTGCTACCGATTGCATCTATTCTGTATTGATTTCGAATACTTATTATCGAATTTAAATACTATTATTGGCTGCATGCGCTGCTTTCGATAAAGAAAATCAACCCAAATTTTATCGGAAAAATTTATCTATTTGGGATGCTAATTATGGGCTTTAGATATTTACTGTAGATACTACATTTTACACTTTATCGATTTCGTGCACTCATTATCGAGTTTAAATATTAGTTATTGATTGTTTCAGAATTTATAGACATATTTATCGATTTATAGTACTCGTTATCGGTATTAGACACTTGCTACGGATTGCATGTACTCTTTCATTCATTTCGAATACTTAATGTCGATTTTAGATTAATAAAATATCGACCCAAATTGCTCGGGTATTGTTCTCAAAACGTATATTTTAATAAAAATTAATAAATGATCGACTTAGCTTGTTTGCATATAATTTTTTCTATATTTTTACGATATTTTATGCTATATATGTACTGTGTATTTAATAAATCGCATGCACTTTTAGCGACTATAAAATACATTTTGACTCTTTCGCAATTAAAACTAATAAAGCACATCTATCTTTTCACTAAGAGCGTCAATAAGTTCACACATATCCACTTGATTCCAGCTTTGCGGCTGCTTCGTAGGTGGGTAACCCTGTCTGATCGATGACCTTGCTCATATCGACTCTAATGATGCCGCTATTGGCATTAAGAACATCCAAAGTATTATGCTCCGGTGAGTTCGGCGACGAAACATCATCCGGGGTAGTGTTTGTGGCTGCCTCGGTGTCAGCATTTGACGCGCTGCTAGTGTTGGTTAAACCAACAACTTCAAAATTCGCATTTTCGGTCATCTCCATGCTCTGAGCTGCGACCGCGGTTTCATTCTCAGGCACTTCCCGACCATTTGCATTCTGATCGATCATTTCTGTTTTATTTTCAACAGTTGTTTCGTCGTGCAATTCATTAGATTGCGCTTTCAGGTTGTTTGCGGCATTAATTGGTACGATGCTGTTGTTGTTATTCTTGTCATTGCAATCGCTATCAATAATAACAGTGGTTGGGGATTCTAAAATATTGACGACACACGCACATTTATCTAACTGTTCATGATCCAACGCATCTGCTTTTCTTGCGGCCAATCGGCGTTCACATCCGCCCCTGCCTTCCTTCAAAATCACATCGTCTAACGCAGTTAGCTGCTGACAGCTGTCACCTAACCTCAAATCCCGACTGACGCTTACTTCACCTACATTGTCATTAGCAGCTACTGCCGCCACCGCACACCCTGCTGCCGCTGTTGATGTTGAAGTGTTTGTGGGTTCGTCCAATCCACTCTCCACTGACAGTGTGAGCGCATCATCGACATCGTAACGAAATTTGCCACATAGTGGGCAACCGCGACGATAATAAGTGCTGTGATGTGCGAGGTAACGACGTGCGCCCGATTTCGCTGTGAATTTCGCGGGCAACGTCAATGGCAGCGGCAATGATTTGCGCGCCAGCAACATCGGTGATATGTGACAGCGGCTGTTGTTGTTGTTGCTGCCGTTGCTACTACCGACTGCATTGTCCGCTGTCAGACTGGCGGCACCGCAGGGCGAGGATGTGGCATGTGAGGCGCGCACCGCCACTGCAGCCGCGGCAGCGTTCCACATATTCTCGACCTCGGCACGTTGCAACGAGCAGCATGACTGTGCATTCAACGCTTTCTTCATGTTGAAAAAGGCCGCACTGTTGCTGTTGTTGTTATATCTATTACTCAACGCAGTAGGTTTGCCACAGGCAAAGAAATTGCTGCAGCTATTGCCGCCAATGCTGTTGCCGCTGATGCTGATGTTGCAACTGTTGCTCAAATTGCCGTTGCTGTCGTTGTTCAGCGTATCTATGGCCATGTTGCTGGTTGCGGCCGACGCGGATATTGTCGGTGTTGGCATGTCGTTGACGGTGAGCGTAGAACGATAGCCTGGCGGCGGGGAACTGTGTTGTAAATGCATTGGCTGTTGGTGCTGTTGCTGGCATTGTTGTTGGTAGAGTTGGTGTTGCAGCAACTGTTGCTCCTGCATGGCCACCACAGCATCATACGAAGGTGGCGGCTCGTGATGTAGTGTCGCCAAGGTGGTGAAACCGTCGCTAGACTCACCCAAAAATAGGCCGGAGGTTTCATAGCTCTGTAAAGGCGTAAAATTAACATAGTTAAGTTATCGGAGTTCAAGGCATATATATCTCGCATGACTTTCCCTAAACTGTTGTTACAACTACAAATGCAACCAGTCTGTTGAAGACTAGTTCTCGACCAGTTAAAATGCTACGCATTCTTTTGAGAGTCAGTTAAAATTCGGTTTTCAAAATTATAAAAAATGTGAAGTTTTATTCATGATTGTTTTTTATAATTTATAATTATAGTTTAATTCCAAGTTTCTCTAACTCTCTCAACCTAATACATTGAATTTGCGCGAAGTTTGTAACACCCTAGTGTAAATTCGGAGTCCCTATAAACTATACGTATATATATATATATATAAATGATTACCGTGAAGAGGGTGCCTGTCCGTGGGTCCACCCGTCTGTATATACGCGAACTAGTCCCTCAGAGTTTGAGATATCAATCTGAAAATTTGCGTAGGTTATTTTCTACCCAAGAAGTTGCTCATTTGTCAGAACCACCCATATCGGACCAATATAGCAATGGCTGCGATATAAGCTCAACGTTCTAAATCAAGTTCTTGTATGGAAAACTTTTTATTTGATAAGCTATCTTCACGAAACTCGGCTTGTTATATTGTCCAAGACAATGCTACAATCTCCGGACACAGTGACCGATCAAAATCAAGATAAAGATGTTTTTATACCCTTTTATGTTATAAAAATTCACATTTGAAGAGTATTATAGCTTCGGTATATCCGAAGTTAATATTTTATCTTGTTACTACACACTTACTGAGCAAGCGAAAAGTGAAGAAGCACACAATAAAGTATAGCATGAACATTAGACAAATATTGGCTTCCTTATGTCTTGTTATTTGACAAACAAAAACCTAACTCTACACTTTCATTGGTTGTGAATGAGTAAATATTAATAGCAGTGCGCTAGATTGGTAAATATTCAAAAGGTGCTTACACTTATTTGAAGCGATGTTTAACATTGTTGTTTTTTTTTACATTTTTCTACTTATTTTTACTAGTTAATCCAGCGTACGGAAATCTAAATAATCCTTTGACTTTTTAGAGGAAAACTCAACTATTGATTTATTAAATATGTGTATATTTTTTGTATAGTATAGGTATACACATCTATTACTTGCCTACTCTTAATTTAATACTAATATTATTTATGAATGAATATTAAATACATGGAATGTCAAATACTTTAGTTCAGCTTTTGCATTTGAGCAAAAAAATAATATTGAAAAATAAAATATATTGAAAATATAAAAAATATAGTGTATTAAGTATACAAAATTTTTTTGGTAAATATATAACTGCTTTCAATGATTTAACTAATTTTGTTTTAATATGTTGTTTTTATATAATTTTTTATTATTATTTATATGACATATGAAAAAACTATTTTTTACTGTAGTATACTCTATTACTATGTTTAATGTCAATTCATTATGTACATGTATCATAAATTAATCTATATGTTATTAATCATGCCTGAGTAACCTAAATACTCGAATCCCAAATACTTTGTGAAAGTATCACATATTTTCAGAAGTATGACCATCAATCAACCGAATAGTTTCAGACCTACATCGAAACAATTACTCCATTACTTTTTATACACATACACATTTATACAGGACTTAATATATATGTATGAAAAACATGTATTTACATTCATAAACTAAAATATATGCGCTTATATGAGATCGTTGCAAATTTTGTTACTCATACGCCCTGGTGTTCCATGACTATTGGATAAGGAATATTGTATATTTTTATTTTCCTCCAAGAGACTGAACTCTTTCAATTACTGGAAGTATTTCCATAATTTACAAAAATATTTACTCATATACAACAACTATATACATTACACTAAAGTGATTTGGCATTGGATTTTACGATTTTTCCAAACTGACTGCGTTTTTGTTGTTGCACCAGCAAAAAACATTTCATAGAAAATGTTGAGAATAATATCACGAAAATTTTCTTTAACTTCTCATACAACAGACTACATTGCAAAAAGTGTAAAAAATTTGCGTAAACTTTAAAAACACATTTTTGGATTAAAATTTATTCTAATTAAAATTTTTGTATCCTTTGTATCCTAGTTGAAATTCCTAAACAACTTTTGATATGGAGGTTTCTAAGCCATAGACAGTCTAGACCAGGGCTGAAGCCTTTGAAAATGGTAAACAGTAAAATAGTAGGCTAAACGCTATTAGAAATGAAGAGAATATAATATAAATGAAAGAAAAAACAATTTACGGGCGATCTGAGGCGTGAAAGTGGTAGGGTATGGGTCCTTAAGCGTAAAAAACGGTTTAACTCGATTTTCAGAAAAACTAGAAGTGTTAGTAAATATTGTTAAATGGCAAAGTTGTAGCTGAAGAAAAGATCGACTACTATTTTCACATAACCTCCAAATTGATGAGGAAAATTCAAATAATCAAATTTGTATTTTTTTTTATTTTTTTCTTTTACATTTGTGAAGCCAGCTGCGATACAACTGAAGTTAACGTTATTTCTTGCTTTTTATTTAATTTTTGTTATATTCTCTTACTTTTCCAATGAATTTTTTTTTACTATTATTTTTTTGTTTTATTTTTTATTTTTTTATAACTTTCACGCTTTTGAAACTTATTCTCCACAAATTTCAGAATTTCAATTAATCGTTCAAACTCTCCAATTCTTACTAATAATTTCCTCACTCATTTCAACTTTATTCAACATGGTATCATATCTCAATCGATTTCAATCTAGTGTTGTCATATGGAACTTACAGTGTATACGTATGTATCCGTGTTGTTACAGTTGTGTGTACGTTAAGTAAACATCAAAAAAGCAAGTGCCCTATATTACAATACTTGCTATTAATTTACTGATTTAACGATGTCAAATGTCCCATTTAACCCAAAAACTTATCACAGCAACTGGTGTTGCTGTAATGCCGCCTTTAAAGGCAAAAGCAAAAGCAAACAAAAACGTCGCATAAAACTTAATTATGTTTACTTAGCAGATACGTATTATCAATAAAGTCGGAGAACGACAAGTCAACTTACAAGATATCGCTTGATTTAATGTAGTGGTTTGTAAGAAACGCTATTTCAACATTTTACGCTGACTAAAGTAAAACGGTGAAAAATGGTGACACGTGAGTGCGGTGGACAGTCGTAAAGTCACATTAAGCTAAAAGGAAATATGTCTGAATGGATTGGTGTTGCGTGAAAGAGACTATTTATAATGATTCACTTCAATAAGTAGAGTACAATTGTACTTTTTCTGGCACTGATTATTGCAGAGTAAAATTTCCTATAGCTTTCTTCAAAATATAATATAAATATAAAGTAGAGCAAAGTATATAAAATATTTACGTTGAGTTACCCCTAATTACTTCCAGGACATTCTCCTAATCCACATGTCTAATTTTGTAAGTGACCAGTGTCCTGTCAAATTCTATGCTTAAATCCATGCATATGAAGTGAGTATTGATAAAATATTTTTTGATGATTAGAGCTATTATTAAACAGAACACACTGGTGCAGCGAATGTATGTAAATTTTTTTGGGGGTTTTACTGGCTAGTTGAGGCCTAACTACGAGAACAGTTTAATAAGTCAGTGAATCACTTCAACAAG